TTACATTAAACGCAACGGGCGAAAGACCTATGGCAAGGGCCATGGCCCTAACTTAACCTTCAGCTGTGCCCAAGGTCTTGTTATTTCAAATTTTTACGCGTGGCTATTCCAATAAATGGCGCGAGAGATCAGGTTGTGTTCTTGGGAGGGGATACCTCTATGAACCAAGGAGTATTCTTAGAGTGAGGTACTAACAAATGACAAAATGCACAATTTTCTGCTCATCTTCGTCTGATAATTTTTGATAATACTCTCGTGGTTGCCTCGAAAACCGCGTTCAATGGAAGACCCTCCTGTTCAACATGCTTACCTGTCGTCAAACCGAAATGGCTTAAAAGCTACGCACTATAAGACGGCACATACCTGTAGGGAATATATGGGGAAATACCTCCTCCCCACCCCATGGATATGGGCGGCACGTGCTTCAAATTTTGCATCAATGAAATAGTTCCAGTTGTGAAGCAGGCGCCATGTTTCGTTTCCTAAAGGCTATGGACAATGTCGAGCACTTCAAACATTTCAAAATCAAATAGCAACACGTCATATTGAAAACAAAAACTTTCTATTTCCTTTTTAAGTTGAAAACGAAACGCAGAGCAATCCTAACGTGGACTGCCACAGGCATCCCACGTAAGAAACGCTGACCGGTACTATCAGCTCGTGTTGATTAAATGTCACAGCCATTCGTTTCGTCCTCTAACGTCCTTTCATGGGTCTGAAAAATTGAGAATGGAATACTTTCATACATACATACATACATACATACATACATACATACATACATACATACATACATACATACATACATACATACATACATACATACATACATACATACATACATACATACATGCATGCATACATACATAATACTTTATTGCATAGCTCCCCCTTAGGGGCTCCTCCGCCATATATGAATATTAAAATATCGAGTAACAAAGAAAAAAGAAAAAAAACTATTTACAGATAAAAATATAGATTACAAAAACAGCTTACATTTCGATAATAAAATAGTATGTTATGATCTATGAATTGAAATATTTATTAAAAATTTTATTTCCAAAAAGGTTAGGGCTTTTTGTTTTTCTGATCTCCTTTGGTAAAGAGTTAAATACTTTTACCCCACGGCAGGCAAAAGCCCTTTGGCCAGTCGAGATCCTACACTTGGGCAACCTGAGGTTGTTCTTTTGGCTGGTGTCTCCTTAGTGAATGTCAGAACGGTGTGTGATAATCTTATAAGCATATCGCGTGATACTTTATTTTCTAATTTAATAATTTTCTCCTTTTTTTGTCCCAATACATTCCTCTCAGGTTACAGAATCCTAAATTAGCAAATTAACGATATATTGTACAAAATCAAATTTTCTACAATTTTTTTTTGACGCTCAATCGACGGCCATTTTGAAAACGGTCCGTTTCAGGTCACTTGATGTGATACGTCACACGTGTGTAAGGCAATGAAAAGCTTCATGTCAAGACATGAAGGTAACAATTTTGTCCCGGCTGTTCAGCTGCTGCCGAAATTTACGAGCGTATTATAGGAGGTCGCCATCTGGTTTCGTGAACGAAACTCTTCTTCCACGTTCCGGAAATGTACAAGATTTATCCTTTTTTAATTTCTTTAACGGAAACTAGTGAGCAGCGCAAAGGAAGACTTCCTACTCTTGTAACTTTTGGTTACTTCTTTGGACGCATTTCGTCGCTAGATGAGAGTTACAACTAACACTGAGCAGCATATATAGCACATTCGTGTGCCTAACTTAACTTAATGGAAGTGAATAATGACAGAAACATGCTGTAAACGAGTGTTACACGAAACGCCTTTTTATGAGCGCCACACTCGAGCGTTGTTTCTCATTTGCGACCGGAAACATGATGAAATCAATCCTGTCCGAAAGGCTACTCGTTTCAAAAATGTACCAATGTCAGCTGAATGAACAGTAAATTACTCGCGCTCGTTTATCGTAAATAAAGTAAGCCGACGGCCTGAGAGAGGAAATCATTAAAGCACATATCATGGGACTACCCTTCACCTGCCGTTTAAAACGCAAAGCTTTGGTATAAAAAAAGGAACCGAGTCCGCGACAAACTCGTGCTACGGAAATAACAAGCACGTAATGTTTCTCAGATTACATCTGGCTTCTGCCTGCAACTGTCCACTGTAACACCCTCCAAATTTTTATTTTTGACCACATCCACCTCTTGGCAAAAGATGTTTTGTTCCTCCCTCCACATTGATTGGCAGTTTCCACACTGACACCTTGTAATAAAAAAATCAGTAAAGTAGCAATTTTTTTAACGATGTTAAATAGAAAAAATAGAGAGCACAACTTGTATGATTGGTTTCACCAAAAGGAACAGTTATCAGCTCTGACAGATAACTCAAACTTTAGGCTATTTTACTTTATTTACAATTCTGCGAGTGCTATTTTTTGCTGTAACGTGTTTTAAAGTAAAAGCCGAGAAATCTTCAATCGTTCGCCAAATTCAACACAGGAACACTTAAAACTGATTCAATTCAAGTTCAAGTTCAAGTTCAAGTTCAAGTTTATTATTTCACACTGTTTACAGAAAAAATAACTTAACATAACATGATCTACAATGATATAGAAAAAATACAAACAGAAATTAACTAGAAGAAAGAATATTTAATTGTGTACAGAGACCAAAGTAGCCAATAAGCTTTCGAATTGGTCACTGTCGTGTGTAGATATAAGTTGGGGTTCGCCGCATGTTAAGTATAATTTAAATTAATAGTTACATTAAGGACGATATTGTTATCGTAAGAGAAGAAAAACATACATAAATGCAAGTTAGAATAAAAGGAAAACTGCACATTGTGAAGCAGAATCAATCGCGTGTGATCGTATATAATCCATCCAATTTACCTCCACATGCGTGTATGTTAATATTTTCAGTCTGTTAAACCTTAGCTTCGGAAGGTGCGTGCGTGTGGCATAAAAAAAACACTTCGCTCCCATGGTATTCAAGAGTCTGCACATTTGGTTTTCTTTACTTGATCGCTCCTACATCTGATAAGCGACTGATTTTCAGATACTTTATTTACAATCGTAAATGCACTCACCATTCTCGCTTTCTTGATTGAGGCGGCCGTGACGCACGGGCTCTTGAACTCCTCTGACTCTCGCGCTCTATTTTAGGTTACGTTCGTCCTGGCGGTTCAAATTGCCAGGACCTGATTTCAACAACAGATTCATAAGACCTTTCATTATGTTTATCTTCCATCGAGGCCTCAAAATCCGAATAATCAGACCCCGAGATAGAACTGCTTTCACCCAAAGTATTATCCGCCATATTTACTTTGCTTAATGTACACACGTGTGACGTGAAGGTCACATGATCAAAATCGAAGCGTTTACGGCGGATGACTCACGAAGCTGCAATTAGGACAGTTTTCCCGGCGAAAAAAGGCGCAAAGAGACATACGAAGCACCTTGTATCTGTTTCAATGTGTTACCCGCGGCATTTAGACGGCATTTCGAAAAGGTGACCTGTTAGCCGTCAGTTATCCTTTAGGTGTATAATTGAACGTAGCACTGTAATGGCAGATTTGTAGTAAGAATGTTCGTTATATAGAAAATCAATAATGATCTGAAATAATGAGATAAGGAATTGCCTGGGGAAATTGTGCGAACGCGTTTGGCTTGGAAAATCCTGTGACGTTATGTGATGTGTCATTCGAATAGCAAATAGTGCGTGCGTGCGGGTGTAAGCTGTTAAAATCAAGTTGACAGGAAATAGCTTGGGATTTAGTAAATCATGTCAATCTTGGATTTAAGTAGTTTAGGCGTGTATTTCCGTTGTAACACCAGACAAAAAAATCGCTATTTTGTAAAAGATGAGATTTGAGATCGTTTAAATGTAGAAAGTTCGGATATTGTATGGATCGTAAATAAACGCAAGAAATCAGACAAAAACAGTCCTTTTGATTGTCGAACCGGCGCTTCGCAGAGATTTTCCTTATCGCAGTGGAGAATTCTGCAACACGGTGTTGAAATCGCTCACGAAGATAGTCAGGAGTCAAGTTGTTCATGCATTTGTAAACCATAACTAAGTCGTTGAAGAGCAGTTTTCCCTTCACGTTAAGCCATTTAACGGACTTCGGGGCTTCTGAAAAATGATAATACTTTTTTAAGTCAGTTACGATCCTGCAGGCGTAGTTCTGGACTAACTGAAGTTTTCTAATATTCTCTTTGCTGGTGTTGCTCCAAACTGTCGAACAGTAAAATAATTTGCAAAAGACGAAAGCATTTATGAGATACATCAGGGTTCTTTGATCCAAAAGGTGCTTTATCCTATTGACCCCCTCCTTAGTTTAAACATACAGTCAGAGGCAGTTTTAGTAATTTGTTCTTTATAGTTAAGATAACAATTGATGTGCGCTCCCAGGTCCTTTGTTACTTCCACAGGCTTAATTTTAGTCCCCAATATCGTGGCACTTGAAAGGGTGGCAGGTGGAGTCCTCATGAGTTGGGGGACGCCTATATGCAAGAGTTTTGTTTTATCGGGGTTGATGAGCAGCGAATTTCTACAACACCAAATTAATATTTCTTTAAGATCTTCGTTTATAGCAGAGATAACATCGTGCAGTTTGCTGGACAGGAACCCGAGAAAGAGTTTTGTGTCATCCACATAGAGAGAGGTTTGAAGTATTTTGGGACTCGAAAGAGGTCGTTTACGTATAATGTAAACAGCAATGGACCCAAAATGGATCCTTGCGGTACTCCAACCGTTAGGGGTAGAGGGCTGGACAAGGTATCCTGAATCTTAACAACTTGTTCACGTTGTGACAAATAGCTATCAAACCAGGCACACGCAGGTTCCGATACACCGGTATTGCGAAGTTTGCACAACATCAAGTCATGTCGAATGCTGTCAAAAGCTTTGGACATGTCCAAGAGAACGATGACAGACATCTTCCTTTGATCCATGTTATTGAGCAATTCGTCAGTGAAATGAAGCAGCGCAGATTCGGTCGAATGAAATTTTCTGTTTCCACTTCGCATTTGATGTATGACATTGCATGAGTCGAGGAAATTGACAAGCTGTGAGTGAGCTGCCCTTTCGCATACTTTAGATAGAATAGGCAGTAGTGAAATTGGTCTTGTGTTCGCGGACTCCTAACTGTCTCCTGATTTAAGAATTGGAACGATTTCTACTTTCTTCTAGGGAAGTGAAAAACTTTACTCCGGGTGAATAATAACATCTAATTTCGACTTTACTTTTAAACTTGAATGCATGGGCACGTTGTAATTGAAAACTGAAGATATTCTCGAAACTGCCGCATAGAAAAGTACACGTAGAATTGACCATTTGACATCTGTCCCGAGCGTGCATTACGATTTGACCTTGGGTGATAATTCTAGAAAAAGCTGATTTGGGCAAAGGCATTTCATTTTTTTCCAGATCGTCTGTCTGGTAACATCTTCCATGAGGAATTCAGGATGTCGATGTGGACAACTTTAGGCCTGATTACTTGGCTAAACAGTTTTTTTTCGTCAGGTGAGGATTTAGCAGGGTCAATGAACGCTATGAATCGAATACCTTTCCAACGAAATGTTGTTTATAACATATGAAATAATCCCTTACTCTTACAACCGATTCTTCAAAACTAAATTTCATCACCCTTCCTTAGGATTCAGAGAACTGATGAAATGTATTAAATCATCAAGTGTTTCGATTGCAGTTCTAAAACAAACCTGGTAGAAAATTTTTAATTGTCTCGTGACAAATTGTGTAATATCACAAGCTCTCTCGGATACTCCTGTAGCTCCCTCATTTTTTTCTGTGCAAAAGAGTCCAAGTCGTACACGATTGTTTGAAGAAGGGAATTTCCTATGATAGACTATAACGGAAGGAGAAACCCAGATCTTGTTAGCTTTTATACAACAGAATCTGAACAACGCTAGCTTCTGGCCGAGTCGAAACACATCCATGGATTTTCTTGTTATGTCTTGTGTAAAATCCATCTACATAACGCAATCAACTTTATCTCTCATGTAACCCTCCACATCATTTTCAACTAGTTTTGAAAGGTGGGGGAAGAGATGGAAGGGATCATTGTGTGCGTGTGTCTAGATTAATTTTTCTGTGTTTGTTTATTTGTTCTCAGTCTTAGAGCATAATCGCTCGTTATCATATGACCTTGCACTCAAACAGAGTTTGATGACAGCTTCCACACTGTATCAACGTTTGCTTTTGGCAAACCCGTTTTCTAGGGTCGATATCAAAACATTTCTCCTTATCAGACAATTTTTATCACAGTTTACTAATATGTAATCTGATAGAATCGCCGTGTTCTTGACAAGTTTTCGTATCAGTCTTTCAGTATGTGAGGGCCTGTTTACACACAGACAGCCCAAGCTCATGTCTCGAGAAAAAGCCGACTAATTCATGAAAGCGTCACTCGTTGTGTGACACGGTGTTAAGTTACGAGAGGAACCGTTGAAAATTTGAACACGTTATAAGGAATAGCATGAAGAACGAAATATGGTCAATTTACAACGATAAATATTTCGAAGTATGAACATTTTACGCGTAAAATCAATAAAACTTACTCGCATCCCGTGTGTCTGTTGTAGTTTTTGGCGATTTCTGCTGTTTTAAGCTTGCTTTACCATCACTGTTATTCACGTCGCCTTTTGACATGACAACGTCTCAAGGTGGGGTAACCCGCCCAGCCGGGGTCGCTTTCATGGCAAAAAGCTAAAAAGCGGAACATTTAAACATTTGTTGCTATTTGCTGTCGTTGCTGCATGTAATGAACCCATTTTCATCTGAACGTCGAAAGCAATCCAAAATTGCTTTGGTTTGCGTATAACCTCACGCTCTCAACCAATTAGGTCATAGAATGATAAAAACCAACCGCGTTATCGTAAATCGTGTTTTTCCCGTGTAACGGGAAGTCTACTCTGAGTTCTTATTATGATATTTTCCCTCATTTTGATGGTGGATGTGACTAAACTAACTGCATGTTCGGTTTGTTGCAGCATCTGTTGCGGCTCCTGCTATAGATGTTTACATTAGCAGTGAAGGTTGCGATGATCGGCCAAAGACACCGAACACATGTGGAATTGCTTACATCAAGGTGAACGGCGAGGATTATTCTCGTCACGGCAGAGGACATAATGTTGTTGTTGTGGACGGTGCAACAGGTGTGTGAACCACGGTTAATATTTTACTTCTAAATTCTTATTTATCATAAGGGATAGCTCGATAATGGTGACAAGCAAAGACCTCCTCTTGGCTCAGACATAATCCAAATGGCCCTTCGGAGTTTCTCAGGAAGTTTTTTTCATTATTTCTTGGAAGAATTATGCGTCAAAGAGTGAATATTGTCGAATATTCCACGAGAAGACGTCTAGGATATTATCCGACCTAAAGAGACCACGAGAGCATTTTCTCATGTGCTCATAATTTATTGAGCCCAAGACGAATAGTGTTCCAGTGTAATTTAAGAAATGAACATTGTAAAAGATTCGGTTCGTGTACAATTGCCGGTTCTCAAACTAGGCATATGTTTTTATCTTATTATTTTTCTTATCATTCAGGTGTCATTCTTGATTCAAAAGAATTCGACACATACGGGAATATATTTGCCGGTAACAACCTAAGGGACTACCTCAACAACATTAGAGGAAAGTATGTAACTTCATTTCAGATGTTTAGATGTAGTGTTATCATTTTAGCCTAAGCCAATCATACCTTTGAAATGATACCTCACTATTTAACCCTTACCTCCCAAGAACTGATTGTTAATTCTCCCCTCCAGTTGCTACTCATTTCCTTGTAAATAAGTTACGAGAATTTGGTTTTAGATCAAGATAACAACTTCTACCTAATGCATTTGAGTATTCTCATTACCTATTTGCTGGATAGTGAATGGATATTGTAGGAGAGGATACTCGTTAATCACTTCTGGGAATTAAAGGGTTAACAAAAAGATTCGATGTTGCTGTGCGTCTGCTCAGTGATAGAACACAGATGACGTCAAAATCAAGACCTAATCTGAAACTACTCTTTTTCGTCATTGCTTTGCTTTTTATTTAAAAATGTTTTTCCGTTAGCAAAATCGTTTTGGTCGGTGTTCAAGACGAAGGTTCGAGATATGCTTCATCAGCGGTTAGCGCTCTCAAAAGACTGGGGGCTCGTGATCCTGTTCTTGGAAGCATGCGGTCGTCTTTTGCATTTGCTGGTTACGCGGGCACAGGACAACCAGCCTGGATGACACAAAAAAAGATACAAGAGTGGAACGCGAGATTTCATGGGCCCAGTCAAATAACTCTGAAAATTCCCCTTTCATCAAGTATGTCAAGTCAGTATAATCTGTTGCACTTATGATGTAGATACCTTTGACCAACAGGTAAATCTCTAAGATCTCTTCGTTCTTATATGTTACTGCAAGTTACCGATGTACGTAAATCAGTGAATAGAGCTTGATCTTTGGCCTGGGTTTCTAACTTGATCGACCAGTACTTCGAAAAAAGGTGTGCTTGTTAGTTAAATTCAGCTCTCTTACTCAGTCTGAGTGAGCATTGCTTGAGAGAGGAGCGAAAAGGTGAGAGAGGACGAGTTTCATGGGCTGCGAGAATGGACATACATGCAGTTTCGGAAACTTGTGACAATTTTTTTGTGCCCCCGAGCTCAATGAAAATAACCCCAACTAACTTTTTCTTACTCGCAGGAGGCTATAAATGTCAAAACCAAACTTTACAGGGACAAAAAGGCGTCATTTACTCACCTAACTATCCAGAAATATACCCAGATGGGCAATACTGCATGTGGAGGATCATGGTGAAAGCATCTTTTCAAGTGGCCTTAATTTTTACACGCTTCAGTCTACAATCTGAGAACAACACGGACGCTGTTTATGTGTACGATGGCAATGACCAAACAGGGAACGTATTAGGAGTGTTCTATGGGGGTCAGCTTCCCCCCAGGAATGGAATTTATTCTTCGTCAAACAGCCTCCTTGTAATATTCAGATCAGATAAGAATGGTTCTTTCTATGGGTTCCAAGCCTCTTATAGCGCTGTTAAGTGTTCTGGTAAGAGTTTGTTGACTGACAGTATTACAAAATTACTTAGCACAATTTCAGAGTTTGAGATGTATCTTAAGAAGATCCCCGAAGAAAAAATTTTGATACGCTCGAACATTTTACAGATAAATAGTGCTATAACTCTTCTGTTTGTTTAATTTGCAGGAGCCCTTGGAATGGAGAGTGGGGCGATTTCTGGTGCCCAGATAACTGCTTCTTCGCGAATGAACAACAACAGCACACCAAGACAGGCGAGACTGAACTTCATTGAACAGGGAATCAAGCAAGGGGGGTGGTCGTCTCTCAAAAATGATCGTAACCAATGGCTTCAGGTGGATCTTGGCAGTCACACCATTGTAACAGGTGTGGCGACTCAAGGGAGGAACTCAACAAATTGGCGACAGTGGATAAAAACTTTCACGTTACAGTTTAGTTTTGACGGAGTGATCTTCCAGTCATACAAAGAGCCAGGGAAAATGTCAGCAAAAGTAAAGTGTCTTTCAATTATCATTCTATGAATTCATTCCGTCTGAAACCTTCTCTGAATGAATTTTTCCCTACAACCCTCTTTTCAAGAGGTCATACAAAAGAAGAGATTCCCCTGAAACTTACCTACATGTACCATAACCTTATACTATAACGTTTTATGGCTTTTCTAGCATTGCATCGATCAATTAACACACCAAAAAATGTTGTGATCAATAGCATCGTTTCTGGGTTTGACTTGGCTAACTTTAACAAAATCTAAAGACACGAAAAGAAAATTCGTTCGGGATGATAAACTCCATTTTTTTTTTTTTTTGACAAAAAGTTGGCAGCTTTACGAATCAGTGAAGTTTCGTCATAATCTAATAAACCTTTAAAACTACGATGTATGCATAGGACCAAATGACACTCATTTAAGTTTATCAGTCTGCGAAGGCGAGGTATCTACTTGAGCTCAGCTGATTTTGGTTTTAACTATCAGGTACTTCACGCCAATCAAGACAGTGATACAGTTGTGTATAACAAGTTGATCTCACCAATCACAGCTCGTTATATCAGGCTTTTACCAGTCACATGGCACAACCATATATCACTCAGAATGGAGCTTTATGGGTGTCGAGGTATTTCATAACATTATGGTCTCTTAGTTAGAAAAAATTACTTTTAGTGTTACAAAAGGAACACATTTCGCAGACGCCGAGATGGGCGTAAAACACCTTTGGACGTAGAAGGCAAATTTAATATGCAAACAAATTATAGTGCGAGTAAAACCGACCAAGAGAAAATAGTGTACAAAACTGGTCAAGGAAAGAAAACCTCCTAAGAAACAAAATGTTCGAAATCATGTTAAAACGCCTTTCATGTTTCTTCTAAATTATTTTCCTGTCAAGGAGCGAAGGGAACCTTAGTATCTTATTTCACTTTTGAACTCTTGCTTGAAATCAAATTTTTTAAAAAACATATGCAGGTGTTTGAAGCAGTAGTTTAGAGTACTGATCCTTCATAATTTTCAGAGCTTAGCCTATGATCTTTGATTATGCAAGAATTGCTTCTAAAACTTGTACCCGACTTATCTTCATCCTGATAGATTAGAGTGAAAGATTCCCGTCTTGAAAGGGATATTAAAGCACCCTTTTTGAGTTTCCTTTCTGATTAAACCCATTCAGGTTGTTCCTCATCACTTGGCATGGAGAGTCAGGTTATCTCCGATGCCCAAATCACTGCCTCCACCCAATGGAATAATGACAATTCTGCAAAATTTGCACGGTTAAACTTGGGCGGCTGGGTTGCCAGAGCAGTCTATCCTAGACAATGGCTTCAGGTGGATCTGGGAACTTACTCAAGCGTAACAAGTGTTGCAACTCAAGGAGTGAACTTACGAGGATGGCGAAAATGTTGGACAGTTAGTTACAATCTACAATACAGTGATGATGGAATAACCTTTCATTTTTACAAGGGTCCTGGAGAAACTCTACCCACGGTATACACAGAAAGTCACATTGAATTGAATTTGAAAATGCTCATGGCTTACGTTTAAAAATACTTTTTTATGGTTATATGATTATTGCGGTCTGAGCTTGGTTTCCAGGGAGAAGTTAATCACTATGTTATCTCCTTTGGCGTCATGCCATGCAGAAAACTTTTTATTTCATAGTCACTCATGCATTCGTTACGGCAGTTATGTATACATTTTTCGTTGTAGTAGAGGGACAGCACTTTTCTTCTGTTCTTTCTATTATACTTCTACCAAAAGGGAACACAGTAAGAATAGTGTGAAGTGCAAAAGTCGATAAAGTCGTTGTGTTATGTTTCATGATCATTTTACAGGTGCTCAGTGGAAATCAAAACTTCCACTCAGTTGTGTCAAACAAGTTGAGGCAACCAATTACAGCTCGTTACATTCGATTCAAACCTTTACTCTGGAACTATCGAATTGGAATGCGAACCGAGATCCATGGTTGCCTAGGTACTGTCAAAATATTATTTCATTCAGGGGGAGGAGGGAAACTCTCAACAAGTTTGAGGCTTAACAGGAATAGACTCATCTATAAATATCAAATTTTAAAAGTGTTAAAAATTTGATACTTCATAATTGTTTCAAACCGTTTCCCATATCACAAATCTTTGATTGAAGACTAAAGCCATGCTTTCAAAACAGTTAATAAACAAACATTTTTGTGGCTGTAGAAGTCATTTCTAGTGTAACGAATGAAGACTTGACTTCTTAATTATTTCTCTTGAAAATATGAATTGCCATTTTCTCGTTAAAGGAAAGCTTCTTCAATTTTTAGTATCTTTTCCTTGTCACAGTGTATTCTCTCTGATTTATTCGTGGATAAACTGAAGGTGTATGTAACGATGATCGCGTGATATGATCATTGAATTTACGCCTAAGTTTGAAAATTTTCAGTTGAGGCAGATATTTGTAAAGTATCAAAACGTGAAAGATACCTGGAAGCTAGATTTCAGTTGCATATTAATAGTAACATTATAATAGACTTATATCAAAATTCATTCATTACAGAGTGCACTGTCCCTCTTGGAATGGAAAGTAGGTCGATATCTGATGCGCAAATCACCGCTTCTTCGCAATTGAATGGAAACCACTCCGCAGTACAGGGCAGGTTGCATTTTCAGGCCGTGGGAAACAAAGCTGGAGGGTGGTCGGCTCTTACGAGCGATATAAACCAATGGCTTCAGGTGGATTTTGGTAGTTACACTCATGTGACACAACTGGCGACTCAGGGGGTGAACGGAGTTGATGAATGGGTGACCAGATACAAGTTGCAGTTTAGTGATAATGGACTGACCTACAAGTTCTACCAAAAAACTGGGGACACTTCGGTCACGGTATGGTTTATCCTCATTTAGCGCATTTTATCAACGGAGTTAAGTTCTGATGGAATTAATTATTTAATGAATGAAAATATACATCTGCAAATCCTGTAATTTAATGCTTGCATTCAGTATGAACTGGACATAATCACGGGTAAGGAGGCACTCTGTTAGTGTGCCACTGCAAAATGAGATATTTATTTCTTTAGTTATTCATTATCACTTGTTATTTCAATTGCAATTCTGAAAGTAAAGCCGGCTAAACAAACGAACAAACAAACAATAGAGTAAGTCATCGCAATTCAGACTTCAAATAAGATCTTAATTTGACCGTAACATTCATGACGATTTTCAGGAGTTTAAGGGAAACCAAGATCGTAACGAGGTTGTGTATAATACCCTTCGTCCGCCACTCAAAGCGCGCTATGTCCGCATAATCCCAACACAGTGGAATAAACATATCTCCATGAGGATAGAGCTCTTTGGATGTCCAGGTATTTGTGCCTTTCAAAATATTTTCTTGATAGGTTATCTTGGTGTTTTGTCTTTCATCGAAAGGCACTTCTTAGGCGAAGCAGGAGGCAGAATGGCTAAATAAAGATTATCATATAAATTACGGTGTTATACAAGGAGTTCCAGCGAGAAAAGCCTTAACAACACACGTGAAAAAATACGATATTTTTTTAAAGTGTGTTTGATATCGCCAATCAGCTGCTGACACGTCACTCGTCTTTCGTCTTTCAAGTTGATAAATGAACGGCAAAGCCTTCAAGATTCTTAATAAAAGGTAGTTTGTCGGAACTTTTTTCGGATTATGCCAGCTGAAAAATTAAAAACTCTGTGTTGCTCGCAGAAAGTGACGTTCAAACTTTCCTAGAACGGGAAGAAAACCAATATAAGAAAAGAAATATCGAAAGTTGCGTACTCAGTGGCTTTGGTAATGGCATTACTTGAGGCTGAGAACGAAAATTGATTCCTGAAAGATTTGCCAGAAGTCAATTTTGGCCGTTTACCTGAAAGACTTCTTCTCATCGGCAGAAATATTGGACAAGATGGCGGCCGTGCTCGCGCATTTCGTCCATAATGGCGTCCAAATAATATAAGAAACTGTATGGAAATTTGTAAAATTTCTAAAATATAACAGGAGCTCATGGTCCCGTCTGCTCTCGATCGAGACATATTCAGTACTGATTCTGCTATTCATCAAACCTCACAGGGACTCGATAAATAAAAACCACTTACTTCCCGAGCCAGTTCTTTTGTCATTGATCTTTGACCTAGGTCGCCGAACAGTTCTTCAAAATCCGTCGTTCTCCATCCCAAACACTCGCCTATTACAGGAAAGTGCATCAATAAAGTCAACTGCTCTCGATCGAATTGACTGCTACAGAGTTCGAAGCGTCCAAATATCCTGCAAAATTGCCATTTCCTCCCATCGAAAAAGTTCCCAACGCGCCAGAATATCCCTTATTTTCTATGTTGAGTAAGTGACGAGACGCCATATTGAAAACTATGACTGAAATAGTTAAACACGAGCAACGCTGATCTTCGAATCGTCGGCCATATTTGTTTATGTTCTTGCAGGGAAATAAATTAGTTCTCGGTCCTTTTCGGAATAAAAATATGCCAGACATTGAATGCAAATTCAGTAGTTTTAGCGCGAAAATTAAATTAAAGCAAATCAAAATTCTGACATCATGTCATCGCTCTGCCTAAATCCCAAAGATTTACTTGCAGGTCTTCTTTTCTTTTTCTTTTCATCAAATAGAAGATCTGCGGTGCTCAAATTGTATAAGTCATGGTACGAAACACTCTTCTTTGCAGAACGAGCCTTGATCGCCGCCATATTAAATTCTCTTGATATTCTATTGTTCCGGAGTGTAATACGATATACCGCTGATAATTGTTAGCGAGCTCGAAATGTCCTTGATTTCTGGCGATGGTCGGTAGGACAAAATCCATAAATGAGAATTTTGTGAACTAAAAATTACGCCTATTGTTGTTATTGTAATCATCATTCGACGTATTTTTCCCAACTTTATTGATTGTATTAAATAACCTGCAAGAGCGCATTTTTCCGCATTCGCAGTAGAGCTAAAATTAGGCGATACCTATCCCAGAGTACTACTGAGGCTATTGTTCACGCTTACATAACATCGCGTTTGGACTATTGTAATGCCCTACTGTATGGTCTCCCGAAGTATCTAATTAATAGACTTCAGCTTTTACAGAACTCGGCAGCTCGCCTTGTTACCTTGACTAGAAGGCAGGACACCGAGGATCACACCAATACTAAGGAGCTTACATTGGCTGCCAGTTCATTATAGGATAGTTTTCAAAATACTGTTGCTGACTTAAAATGCTCTGAATGGACTAGCCCCAGATTACATTAAAGACCTATTGGAGTATCATGACTCTCGTCGCACACTAAGATCTTAAAACAATAGGTTGCTAAATGAACCTGGAGCGAATCTTAAAACGTATGGTGAAAGGGCTTTTTCCGTGGCGGCACCAAGACTCTGGAATAAACTACCACTCCAGATCAGGCTTTCATCATCAGAGGCAATTTTTAAGGCTAATCTTAAGACTTATCTTTTTAAGCGTGCATTTCATTTGTAGTTTTTACTTGTAGTTATAGTGTATTTAATACTTAGGATTTTGATTTTTACGGTTTTTAGAGTATTGTAAAGCGCCATGGACTATTAATGGACGATGGCGCTATATAAATGTATTTAATTAATTTAATTAATTGTTGTGTACGTTTGTAGCCGTCAATCTTTTCTCAATATCCTATTTGCCGTGTAGTGTGATTCTGAGAATCTGGTGGTAAGATCAAATGATATTCACTAGTTGATATTTCGCCTCTTCTTATTATTTTTTCCACCTGACATTGATGTAAAGCAAAATTACTTGATAGTGAGAACGTCATTATTAGGGCTGACTCAAATCTGTCGCGGCTGTTTGTTGTTAACCGCTACACGGACTAATTGTCGACCAGAGATCATCCAGTTGTGGGACTACCTTATAATTATTCTACTTCTGAAGCTTAGTGGAAAAGTTGTCGATTACACCTCAAAAAGGAAACGTCAACGTTCTTTGACTAGGCAAATAAGCTGGTTTTAACCATGACACGATTACACGTTTTTTGGATCCGAAAAGGTCTTCTTTAAGCCATCGACAAAATGATTCATAGGACGCTTCCTAAAAATGACAATTGTTAAACTTATTCCACTTGAAAATGAAGGAATAAATTAAGTTACTTAAATTTCCCAAACCAATCGCAACTTTGGTAAATAACAAAAAGTTTATACGTATACACACAAATAAATTAAAACCAATATGTTAGTGGCGGAGAATGGAAGGGAAAGAAAGGAAAGGTGTCATCAGCATTTCGTCAATAAGTATGACTCGACAAAAAACATCATATCACAAATCACGTACCCAGGCTGGGAATTTGGTTAGGATAATTGATTGTCCTTTTTCTCCTTTAGATTGCATTGCACCCGTCGGTATGGAGAGCGGACTGATCTCCGATGACCAAATCAGTGCATCATCACAATTGGATGATAATCATGCGCCAAAGCGCGCCAGACTGAATACCAAGATGAGTGGGATAAAACAGGGAGGTTGGCTTCCTCTAACAAATGACCGTAATCAATGGCTTCAAGTGGATCTTAATAGTTATACTCGAGTAACACGAGTAGCAACTCAAGGGATGGATGGCTATGAGCAGTGGGTGACTTCCTTCCAGTTAGAGTACAGTATTAACGAAATCACTTTCAAGTCTTACATGGAAAGTGTTGGCAACCCCAAGGTATGTGGCGCCTACCAATTCAGTGCAGAGCTACCTTGAGAATTATTGGTATGGTAAAAAAAATAAAGAAATAAATTTAAATAAGAGATTTTATAATTCTATCAATGTTTATTTGTACATGCAATCTGGCTAAAAGCAGTCTTACGACAAAAAATAAACAATTCAAGCGGCGTTAATTTTCTCGCTATTGCTGCAATTCGACGAATTTGTATCAAGCAAAGGAAAGTGGCTTTCTGACCCAATGAGAGAAAAAGCCATAATACACTGTAGATCTCAAGGGATGGTTTCCAGCCAAAGAGCCTCTCTAGTAATTGAGTATTTTCCTAAGCTGTACAAACCTCCACTAGAGATTGTCATTCAGATATATCACAAAAGGCAGACGCAGAGCTCTTTTCTTTCATTGTTAATCATCCGCAAGCCTTATGCATCAATTTTCCTTGATGCTTTCTGTGTTTTTCTCGCTTAGATATTTCTCGGCAATGGTGATAGTGAAACTGCTGTTTACAACATTCTTAAACCTCCAATCACAGCACGATACATAAGGATCTTACCCATAACGTGGTATAAAAACATAGCGATGAGAATAGAGATCTACGGTTGTACAGGTAACGTTTTAACAGTAACAAATGATGCCAATAAAAAAATCAAATAGGGGTGCCTTCTAACAGGCCCTTTTTACCTCGTGGTATGACGTAGGTCTTACCGTAAGGTTTTTCAGTATGGAAGGAAAATTCACTCATTCACTAACTCACTCACCCCATTCTGTGATCTGTTAGACAATTAATGTATGCATTAAAACTTTGATCAAACGCGTCATCTCCTGCCTCCCCGTATTAGGCTTACCTTTGTTCCCAGTATTATACTATTGTCTTCCGTTCAATAACCTAAGGATTGAAACTAAGGGCGAAATTTTTACCTGAGTACACTGAGTTATCAAAAAAATTCAAAATGGCATCTGTCGTTGGGCAAAAAGGGTAAAATGATCCGGCTGATTTTTCCTTCTTTTCGCTCCATCCTTGATCAAAATGCATCCGTTTAGACCTCTTGAACAAAGAGAGAAATGTGCGTAGGAATGCTCAATTGGAAAGAAAAGGGCTTCAAATTCTTAAAATCGACAACGATAAAAGTCCCAACAATCGATATGGAAATATCTTGTTGGACCGTGCGCTAAAATCATCAAGGCGTTTGCTCCATTCTTGATCAAAGTAAACCTTTGTAGACCTTGGAAACGAAGAGCAAACGTGCAGAAGAATGCTCAATTGGAAAGAAACGGGCTTCAGTCAAAGTCTTGAAATCAGTAATTCTTGTCTTCAAATTGATTTATCTATTTACCATATTTTGCGGTTTAAAGGTTAAGATTTCATTTATTAACCCCTATAGGCGATTTTATTCTTTAAGTTGATTTCGCGTATCTGTTCCGGCTATATTTTACATATATTTGGCAGCTTATTCATCATGTTTTGAGATTTTTATGATTTCATTTTATTTGATCATTCACCTTGTGAGCTACTTCGTTCCTAGAGCGTAAATCTTTTGACATAATTTAAACGTATTATATTACTTGCTTGTGCACAGGTTGAATTTGCTATCATTTGCAGATAGTTTTGTCACTGACTGTGAATATATGAAAATCATATATGTGAACTGAGGTTTAATTCGGAAATGGATATGAATACTTCTGCTTGAGTGGTGCTCATTACTGTCAAGATCGCTTTCGTATTCCTTTCTTTTTCTTTTCACTGTTTGGCCGTTAATTCATGTGACTTTTAAATAATTGTCGTCTTGGTTTACTTTTGGCTCCAAGTTTTGGTGCCCTTGCTAGCGCTTCTAAATTGGTCATCACGCCCTATTGGAAAAAGATGGTAAAGATTTAAAGTTCTCACCTCTCAAATGAATAATTATGACATCCCATGAGGTACTTCCTCTGAGCCTATGATTTGAAAGTATACCGGCAAATAAAGAATCAGTTTTAAAGTAGAAGGATAAATAACACAAATAACGCAGATACAAATGTAACATCGCTCGAGAGAGTGGAATTACAGTCTGATGCAGGTAAATTAGAGCTACCACGCGCAATGTAATTACATTAACTCAATCATTGTAAATAGCTCTTTAACTTTTAATTTTTAACCTGAAGAAGGCTGAACGGCCGAAACGTCGTGCATTAAACTCGTCCAGAACAGTCAAGAGTTGGCCTCTTCGTTACGTCCTTATAGTGCACTTAACTCTATATATATATATATATATATTTTCGAAGAATCGAGTTTTAGAATCTCGCATATGCGAGATTCTAAAACTCGATTCTTCGAAAAGAACCCAGATCTTTTCTCTTTTCCAAGCTCCAAACGAGTTGAACGATGTCTTACTCAGTTAATTTATGTTCACTTATTTCAGTGTGTAGCACACCTCTTGGTATGGAAAGTGGAGCAATCAAAGATGCACAAATAACCGCCTCTACACAGTGGGATGGCAATCATGACACATCAAGGGCTAGGCTGAATTTGAAGTTGACTGGAGTAAAGAGAGGAGCCTGGTCAACTCGTGTACTGGATCTCAAACAGTGGCTTCAAGTCGATCTTGGCAGCTATACCACTGTGACCGGTGTCGCGACTCAGGGAAGGAATGCACCACGATTACAGCAGTGGGTGACTAAGTACAGGTTGCAATATAGTACTGATGGAGTGAACTTTCATTTTTACATAGAAAAAGGCGACAACTCATTCAAGGTATTTTCGTCTTTCTTCTTGTTTTTTTTTTATGTTTGGTAACAGACATGAGTGATAAAGAGTGCGAAGGCCAGCCACGGTAGTGATGTTATAGAACTACCACTAGTGCCATACAAAATTTACCCATTTCAAATTCTAAATGCAATACGTTTTCCAGAAGAGAAAAAAATCACTTTCAACCGTACGGAAACTTCCGAAAAGGGGAAAAAAATGAGAAAAGAATCAAAAGCCAATTTTAGAAATCATGGTAAACTATGAAAGTGAATATTTTACAATCCAAGTAAATTAAAGCTGTCAAAGGCGAGGAGATTTGATAGGAAAAATTCCGGCGGGATATGCTTTGTGGTTTTTCCTCCTTAGCCATCTTCGATTAAAAAAAAAAAAAATTCTTCATAGTAAATCTATTCAGATTCGTAACAAGTTAAACTTCATTCATCTTCTGAAGGATCAATCCGGTTATAGAAGACTTGTCCTCGGCTCTGTAATGAGTTTCAGAAGTCAGCATAAATCTACTTGTCACAATGTCTCTATAGAATAAGAGATGATGATATTCTTTTCAGGTGTTTAGTGGTAATCAAGACCGAGACAGCATTGTGTACCACAAATTGGTAAGGCAAATTACGGCACGTTACATCCGGTTCATTCCGGTGGAATGGCAAAGTCACATCTCTATGAGAGTGGAAATCTATGGCTGCGCAGGTACATCGTGGTGTATCTTATTGTTGCTGTTGCAGTAGTTGTATTAATTTGTACCTACTGGTAAACTTAATCTTTCAAAGTGTCATTCGCATTAGCTTTTATAAAATACTTCATTACATAAACGCAATAATATAATATTAAAGGTTGAAACATTCTGTATAAGATATAACAGCTAAAAGAAATGTCCTAATTACAAATTACATGTAGTTGAGAATTAGAACTGATATATAAATTAGGCAATGCATTAAAGGCAGCCAATTTTCTATCAAAGCAAGTTTCAATTAATCACCGATAGTGATCCTAGATTGCCTTGATTTTGCTTTACTTTGCACTGTGATTGGTACGGAAGATTCGCGCCACTATCTCCGCCACTGAAATGCAGAACTAAAACCAATCCCAACGGGTACATCAGAATCTGCCTCACTGTTACTGTTTCAGTAGTGGTAAAGATTGGAACCAAGACTTGTTGGAACCTCTTTCATATTAGTTGTAAACTTTAGAGGGTCATTCGCTCAAGTTTTTATAAAGTGTTTCATGAAGTGAACGTAATAATATAAGCATTAAAAATTGAAATAATAGTCTGGATAAAAACTGCAGCTAAAAAGTGTACATCCGTCAAACACAGGTAGTGGAGAACTCGAACAAATACCAGAACTAGCCATTGCAGAAAGGACAGCTCTCTCAGACCACATCTTCGATTACGTCTGTCAATTCTCGACCAGAGCAGATTTCGATTAATTATATCAAAAAGTGATACTGGATTGCTTTGATTTTGCTGTACTACGCTCTGTGTCATCATCTCAGCCAATCAAATGAAAAACTAAAACAAATCTCAACTTAGTCACTGGCGTTTTCCGGCGCGCTTCAAGCGGGCCGCTTGTGCAGCAAATCGGAGATTGGTTAGCTCATTCCAGCAATAGATAGAGAACCCCATTCGCTTTTTCTTATTCTTCTCGCTCTTTCTCTTTTTCTACTTCATTTTACTTCTTCTTCTTCTCTCTTAATTTTTGTCCTTTTTTTCAAAACAATTCAGGATGCTTTGAACCGCTTGGTATGGAGGATGGAACGATCACTGATGACCAGGTCAGTTCTTCTACGCGACTGGATGACAACCATTCGCCAAGTAAGGCCAGGTTGAATTTTAAAGAAGAAGAAAACAAGGCCGGGGGATGGTCAGCTCAGACAAACGACGAAAACCAATGGCTGCAGGTCGATCTTGGGAGTTATACAAGAGTTACGCGTGTGGCGACTCAAGGGTTGAATGTCAACAACGAGTGGGTGACCAAATACAAGTTACAATTCAGTGACGATGGAAAAAACCTCCAGAATTACAAGCAACAGGGTGACAGCGAATGGACGGTATGTCTTAGTTAGCTGTCACATGCGTGTGATATACAAGAGCGATATCCAAAGCCGCTTTAGGTGACAACTCTTTAATCCATACTGTTTTCAACAAATGCAATAATTTTGAAACATGCATATATTTTTTTACTTTCTTGAAATTTTACTATGACACATACTCTGACTCTGATTACAAATGAAAGGTAAGGGCCTTGAAAAGACAGTGTTTGTCACTTCCGAAGGCCCTTCCAAAAATAGACTTAATCCATGCTGCTCACAATTTACAGGTGCTGAATGGGAATAAAGGAAGTGATGCCATTGTATATAACAATCTGAATCCTCCAATCACAGCAAGGTTTATACGATTTATACCAATCAGTTGGCACAATAAGATTTCCATGACAACAGAGATCTTTGGCTGTCCAGGTATGGCGATTATTAATCTGGTTTTTAGAATCCACTGGCCAAAAAAACGTTAGAAAACAAATAACTAGATTGACTGAGAAGCTTGATAGGACTTCAAGATTAGCTGTCAAATTTTAAAAACAGTCTTTCAGCCACAGGCATATACCAGCGAGTCAGAAGGATCTCAGCGTCGCAACATCATGTTTCGTACATCATTGATTAGAGAATTTTGAGAGAAATAGAGGGTGAAGTGAGATGAATGCTTTGGATATAATTTAGGTCTTTTATTGTAGTAATTTTGACTGAAATCAACCAATCCTTTTAGTGACTACAGTAGTTTATCAGAGGCAATTATTGAAAGAGAAAGTGAATAAAAGTGTCGTGTAAAGTTTGGATAGTAACTATATCTAACGCTTATCTCTTAACAACAAATTCAGCATGTATGACTGCTCTTGGAATGGAAAGTCAGGCAATAGAAGATGCTCAGATAAGTGCTTCCTCGCAACTGGATGGAAACCATTCTGCAATACAAGGTAGACTACACCTTACGAGAAACAGTCAAAAGCAAGGTGGCTGGACGGCTCTCACAGATGATCGTAACCAGTGGCTACAGGTGGATCTTAATACTTTTGCGCGGGTAACGGTAGTAGCGACCCAAGGAAGAAACGGATTCAAAGAATGGGTTACCAAATACAGCTTGCAATATAGCGATGATGGTGTGACCTTCACGTTCTACAAGGAACCTGACAGCAACTCCGAAAAGGTGTGGTATCCATTTCACAGGTAAAACCTTACTTGATAGGCTTACCCTATAGGCTATTTAAATCATTATAGAGCAAATTGTTGAAAAATAGATTATTACCATGGACCTCACTTAATTCATTAACGTATTAGGGATGTTTTCCCTTACCCAATACATTCTGCACTACAGATGTGAATGAAATATCAACTATGACGCATCTTGAAAGGAGAAACAGATGGGAGTGTCCTCAAACAATGTTTAAATCCTGGAATATTTCTTTAAAATCTACTTTTATTATACTTAGGTGTTTGATGGAAACCGAGATTCAGATACTGTCGTATACAACAAACTAACTTCGCCAATAACAGCTCGGTACATACGGCTAATACCAATGACGTGGAATAACCACATCTCGATGAGGATGGATTTATATGGCTGTCCAGGTATTTTGCAATTTTTAAACTAGTGACTATGCCAACATTATCGAACGTAATTGGTTATCAACAGACAGATAAAAGCACTAAGAAAGCAGTTTTGATGTCATGATTGTAACTGGAGGGTATAAAAAGCCTTTTTCGGTGTCCAATGTGTAACTTGACAGTAAACGTCATTCAAGTGTGCTACCGTATCGACGCTTGGGCCACTCTCTCATGGAAAAAATCTATTGCTATGTTTTTACTCATAAATACGTTTAACCGATGATTATTTAGTTCCTGAAATGTTGTTACAGTTTTTATGAATGGGTTACAGACGTTTCTGTCTATAATCATATTCCTGATTCAGAGCTTGTATTGTTACAGAAAGAATTAAACCCAGCCCCAGTCAATCCTTGTACCTTTAGTCGAAAGACTATCTCCTAAAAGCATCGTTTCCGTTTTTAATCTAGGCTGTATGTCCCCGTATGGCATGGAAAATCGCAAAATTTCGGATTCTCAAATCAAGTCGTCAACGCAGCTGGATGAAAATCACTCTGCAAAGCATTCCAGGTTACATTCAAAGGCAAATAGAGAAAACGGAGGAAGCTGGTCAGCGCTTAAAAATGACGTAGACCAATGGCTTCAGGTGGATCTTGGTAGTTACATACGGGTGACGGGCATTGCTACGCAGGGGAGGAATGGGCATGACGAGTGGGTGACCAAGTTCAGACTGCAATATGGTGAAAATGAGGACATCTTTCATTTCTTTGAGGATCCAGGACATTTTGCTGCGCAGGTTTGTATCGTGAAGCAGTTTTCCCAGATTTCAGTTACAAAATGTCGACACCAAAGCAATAGGCAGTAAAAATTTACAAAACAAATTTCGTTCCATCCCAATAAGTAAAGCCTTTCCAGTCTATTTCAATATTCCCATGTCAACTTTATAGGAATCCAGCGACAATAAATAAAATTTTCGGTAACCACTAAAAGCCACGATAGCCACTAAATTTTGTTTCCTTTTAACTTACGCGTTTTGAGAATAGAAATCTCACATCAATTTTATTTGTCGAAGTTTTACCACTAAAAAATTTTAGAGCTCATCCTTTGCGCGTTCAGTTCTGGAAAGATGTGGATTAGACTGGCTAAAACATTTGTAGTCTTGGAGATCGACGTGCATCCAATCGATGGTAGACAACCCTAATCAGAATGTTGATAATCTGAAACGAACTGTAAGAAACTAGAACTGCGGCATTTTGTACTTAGGCGCTAAGAAAGATCAATTCCAAAAAATTTGAGTAATCATCTAAGGTATTTTGCGTTTTTCTATCAAGGTTTTCAATGGAAATACGGACAGTGACACTGTCGTGTACAACACACTGACTCCACCAATTATAACGCGTTACATTCGATTCAAACCCGCTGAGTGGCACAATCGAATATCAATGAGAACTGAGATCTATGGCTGTCCAGGTATCTAGAATAATCCTACATACTTTTATGGAGACTTATTTGATACCAACGTTTGACTTTCTTTTTGAGCTGCTGTACAAATAACAAATTGCATCTCTTGTCCCCCATGTTAATCATTTTTGGAAAGGCTATCTGGGGTGCTTTGCATTTGGTGAATGACGATATCTGACAGGAGTAGGTAGCCATTATCAATCAAATAATGGCATCTGTTATAAACTGTCATCATTCTTTTTTTGTCAAACTAAGGTTGCATAAATCCTCTCGGAATGGCATTTGGATCGATATCTGATACTCAGATAATTGCATCATCACAACTGGATGGTAATCACTCTGCATCACAGGCCAGGTTACATTTCCAAGCGGATGGTAACAAAGTTGGGGGTTGGTCAGCTCTCACAAATGATCGTGACCAATGGCTTCAAGTGGATTTTGGTAGTTACACAAAAGTGACGCGTTTGGCGACTCAGGGGATGAATGGCTACGATCAGTGGGTGACCAGATATATGTTACAATATAGTGATGATGGAATAACCTTCCACCTCTACAAAGAAGCTACATCCAGCTCTGCAAAGGTACCAGATATCCTAAGCTTTCATTTTCTCTGCCAAATTACAGACTTTTGTCAACAGATATCGTGCAGATAACGTTCGCTGCTGCTTCATGAAAGAGTGTAAAGCTGACACAAGAGAAAGAAAAGAGAAAAAGAAACATGGTCGAAAAAAGAAGTTCATCTATCTATCCATCTATCCATTTCTCTTTCCCTCCCTCTCTTCTACCCTCCATCCGTCCATAAATCCATCCATTCATCCTTTTATTCATCCACCCATTTATCCATGCAGTCGCTCAATCCATTTATCTTCCAATCCAGTCATTCTTCCATCTATTCATTTATTCATCCACTAAGCTTTTTATTCCAAATTCTGACCTGTCTCAGTCAATTGTTGAACCGTACTTTGATTACTGTGGCACTGTATGGGATAACATCAGTGGCCGCTTCACCGAAAAACTCTAAACGTTATAAAGACTTGCAGCCCGTGTAATCACCTACTACTGTCGGTTACCTACTAACGAATCACTGAGTAGACTCGGCTTCTTATGACGGCAAAAGTTATGAATAGTATGACCCCAGCCTGGTGAGAAGATATCTTCTCGAATAGTATTGGGAAGTCAGTGTGTAATCTAAGAACTTTCAGCAGGAATCTAGCTTTACCAGTTGTTAACAGACTACTAGCGGAACAGTTTTGTTTACACTGGGACAAAAGTTTGGAATACGTCATCAAACGAAATGAAACATGATTATTCCTTTGTCTATTGTTTAGGAGTTCGATGGGAATCAAGACCAAAATACTGTTGTTTATAACATATTGAGCCCACCAATAACCACTCGTTACATTCGACTGAAACCGCTGGCCTGGAACGACCGGATATCGATGAGAATGGAGATCTACGGATGCCCAGGTACAATTCGTACTGGCAATAGCCCGACACAGTTGACGCGGTAGAAACGATTTAATAAAGCCTTAAAAGGAACTGAAACCTTAAAAATCTACCAGACTATCAATATAACTCTTTGACAATTAAAAAAAAACATCGTGGGAGCCGGATGAGGAATGTTCCGATTTATTAATTTTTGAAAATTTAAGGTTAGAGAACAAACGTATCATGCTCCGCTGAAACGAAGATTTTAACTGTTGGACAAGAGATACACCTTTCACTTTCTTGTCCTTTTTCAATACAAACAGGTTGTGCAGCACCACTTGGCATGGATAGCGGGGCAATCACCGATGCACAGATAAGTGCTTCTTCACAGTGGGATGGCAATCATGGGGCCAGGCAAGGAAGGTTACATTATAAGAAACTTCCGGGAACCTCCGGAAGTTGGTCATCACGTGCAAATGATTTAAACCAGTGGTTTAAAGTGGATCTTGGTCAATACACGACAGTGACTGGTATAGCGACCCAAGGCAGACAACGCTATGACGAATATGTGACAGCATATAAGTTGCAGTATAGTGACGATGGAGTAACTTTTCAGTTTTATAAGGAGAAGCCACTCGAAACTGAAAAAGTATACTTAAGTAGTTTTATTTTTTCTATCTATTAGTGATCTGGAGTGAACATAAAATCTTAGAATTATAAAAGACAATGTGACAACGTAACCCCAAATGGGAAACTTCCCAGAAGCTTTATTGTTCGGGAGTGTACGAAACCTTTATCGATGTTCTGATCGAAAGCTAATTTTCCACCTGTCTTGATAATTTACATAGGTCTTTCGTGGAAATAGTGACAGAGAGACCGTCGTTTATCACGAAATACGCGAACCAATCAGAGCACGCTACATACGAATTAGACCGGTGAGTTGGTACCGACACATATCCATGAGGGTTGAGATTTATGGCTGTCCAGGTAAGTCCATTTCTCTTCATATTTTCTATTGTTTGTAATATTTATCACCTTTATTCTTATCACTGTCATTTTTTCTCATTATTAACAATTAAGGTTAAAGTTAGTATCATCACTCTGATCACCATTATTATCTCTACCGCCATAGTTATTAAAATCATTATTATCTTGATTATTATTATTATTTGTTTTCATTTGTCGTACACGTAGCTGTACAAGCAAAAAACACATTTGCAAATCACGACAGCGGTATTAGTTACCCGTTAAACGATAGAAGTAAAGTCACAAAACCAGCCCCTGGCGCGAAAAAATTTGAGGAAAAATTCGTGACCTGTTGTCATCGTAACGTTGATAAGGATAATTTAACCATCTAGCTTTTAAAAGTTTGTTGGGGCGATAACGTTCCTGTATGGTATGGACTCAACTTTTGAATTTGATCGGTCAAGTGGGTGGTATGGCAGGTTAAAAGCGATTCCAGATGTTAATTGTACGCATTACAAGATCATTAGTAAAAGGTTTTCAACCTTTTTGTGGCTATATCTGCGATATGTTTCTTTCGACATACTCAGGCTGTGTATCCCCCCTCGGCATGGAAAGTAAATTCATCTCTGATGCGCAAATATCTGCCTCCTCACAACTGAATGATGATCGTGCTCCAGCACATGCCAGGTTGCACAGTCAAACAGTCACTGATGGTAAAAATGGGGGGTGGTCTGCTCGCAAGAACGACCTTTATCAATGGTTTCAAGTGGACCTTGGAAGTAAAGTAATTGTGACGCGTGTAGCAACACAGGGGATAGATGGACTCGACGAGTGGGTGACAAAATACAGAATACAATTTAGCTATTCTGGGATAAATTTCCAATTTTACAAGAAAGCAGAACACAGTTCTGCACAGGTATGCCCTTAGCGCTGTATTCTAACTATGAATTCTGAGTGACAGTAATTAATGTTTATCGTACACCGTAATGGTATGATCAATATGATGCCTATGGATATGAACGAGAAACGTTCAGCCCAGTTTAGGCAATTTGTGTGGTGTAAATGACTGGTTGGGGGAGAGCAGGTGGCTCGATGGGTGGTTAGGTGGGTAAGTAAGTTTCTGGGTAATTGTGAGGAAAGAAAGCAAACTGACTGTTAATTACGTTGTTTGTTTAAACTTTCTTTTGAAGGTTTTCGATGGAAATGACGACAGTTCCACAGTTGTAGTCAAAAGACTGAGTGAGCCAATCAGAACACGTTTCGTCCGATTATTACCGCTAGAGTGGCATAAACACATATCAATGAGAATTGAGATTTACGGATGCCCAGGTAGAGTCGATCCTTTCGAGGTTGAAAAGTTTTTCCTTCAATAACCTGACTAAGGACATTTTGAAAAACGGGTTACAGAAATCTTAGCAGCGGCTTGTGGTAAAAGTCTTCATCTTAGTTCAATTAATCAATGAAAAAGATGTAGCTTTAGATTAATCAAGTCAACCGCATCATCGTTTCCATCCACGAACTAGTTTTTGGTTTTACCTGATTATGAAAAGGCCATAGCAGTACGTGTCTTCTAGGTTGAAAAAAATTAAATTCGACCAGTTAGTGTCTATTATCGGTAGCTATTTAAATTAGATCTAACCATTCCCTCAAAGGAAATTACATTTTTCTTCCTGATTCTTGATTTGCATCTCGTAGACTGCATCGCACCTCTTGGTATGGAAAGCGGAAATATCGCTGACTCAAAGATAACTACATCCTCGATTTTGGATGACAATAGCCCTGCAAGTCAAGCCAGGTTAAATTATAAAGCGGACGGTGGCTTTGGGGGAGGTTGGTCATCTCTCATAAATGATGCTAACCAATGGCTTCAAGTAGATCTTGGTACTTACACACGTGTGACACGTGTGGCCACTCAAGGAAGGAATGGGTACGATCAGTGGGTGACCAAGTATACGATGGAGAACAGTGAGGATGGCCAAAGCTTCCAGGTGTACAAACCATCTAATGCTAGCGTTGCGAGGGTATGTTACACCATTTTAAGAGTAATCGTCTCCAACTTTAAAAAGTGGTCTTCCTGATGACTTACGTAGCTAAGCCTCGAAAAAAGTGCACCTAAGGGAAACGAATATTGTACTTCTTCTCCTTACTGTGACAAAAATGTATGAGATAAACCCAGCTCCACAATAAGACTGTTATAATTTCTATCAAGAACACTCCTTTGATGCGACAAATTTGTCATCTAATTTTGATATGGGATAAGAATTTCTCGCATGCAAGATATCAACATTTTTCCTTGTTTTTGTCTAAAAGGTTTTTACTGGAAATCAAAACAGCGAGGCAGTGGTTTACAACAGTTTGAGCCCACCAATCACAACAAGGTTCATACGGCTTATACCGGTAGAGTGGCACAATCATATCTCTATGAGGATAGAGATCTATGGCTGTCCAGGTGCTTTAAAGGAACAATTATAACTAATCATTCCATAAATAAAATTATTGACAAGAACAAAACGCCATACATTTTACAGATATGGTCCCTTACGTAATGAAATGAAGCAATCAGAGCTGTTTAACCAACTAAGCAGAATCTTGTTCTTGGAAGGTTATTCTAATGTGTTGCTATATTGAAACGATCCAAAATATTAACTTTTAAAACAATATATATTTTTTCAAACACAGGATGTGCTGCAGCACTTGGTATGGAGAATAAAGAAATACCCGTTGCCAACATAAGGGTATCCTCCCAAATGGATGAGGATCATGGTGCAAAGGAAGCGAGGTTAAATTCGAAAGCAGACGGGAACATGGGAGGTGGGTGGTCAGCCATGAGCAATAACTTCAATCAGTGGCTTCAAGTGGATATCGGTGATAACTCTCGATTGACAGGTGTTGCGACTCAGGGGATGAATGGGAACAACCAGTGGGTGTCCAGATACCTCATACAGTATAGCAGTGACGGAGTGACTTTTGAATTTTATAATGCAACAGAAGACAGTTCTGCAAAGGTATGATTACTGCTGAAGAGATCAGAGAGGTTAGCCGCTTGACCCCATTTTGAGTTAAGTGCTTATTTTATGTATAGCAGTTAATTGTAGGCCATACAATGCTAAACCGAACGTAAGAGTTCTTTCATGGGCCTTGGTTATGCAATAGAAAGTTACCCAGCAAACTGACCATTTATGGATTCCGTTTAAAGCCTTTACTGTCTCAACATCAGGTATTTTATGGAAATCAGGACAGTGACACAGTTGTAAAAAACATACTCAGTCCACTAATAACAGCACGTTACATTCGCCTGATGCCTGTTGAGTGGCATAATCATATATCGATGAGGGTGGAAATCTACGGCTGCTCAGGTATAGTAACCGCTTTTGCTCGTAGAGACAAATTGGGTGCGATACCTGATAGAGTGTGCAATAGCTAATTAGTCTGCCAGTCAATTTCAAAATGCACTCAATTTCATAAAGGTAATTGAATAGGCTGAAGTTCAAATCGAACGAACGGGTAGCACGTGATCGATTTAAAATCACTGATTATCATTTTTGACCAAAATTACATTACACGAATGTTAAATGTTCCTCTCACACTTCTTACATCATTTTACTTTTTTTACAATTTGATTTGTAGTTTCTCTGTTTTAGTTTTTCATTCAGAGGAAAAATTAGTGTGAACCTTGTATACACGATACTTCTGAGAGCCAGTCAGTGTCGCCAGCGATCCCAAACAGGATGCAATAATAATTAAAACAGATCTCATTCCTCCCTTTTAAATATGTTTGTTTTGCGATGAGAAAAGTTTGCTCGAATTAGTCTTCATTTCATTAGGTTCCCCCGGCGTCGTGCTGTTACGGCGAGTTCCTGTGCATGTTTCGATTCATTTACTTGGAGGAAAACCAGAAACTGGAATTTGAAAATTTATTTGACCTTATAGTGTTTGCTGGTTCGCCAACTGTACCACCATCAGAAATGACGACAGAAGCTAACACAGACAAAGAAGGGGGAATACTCGGAGCGCAACAAGGAAACAAGAAAAAAGAAGGTGCCGCTGAAATTGTTTTCTAATCGTTGTGTTTTCTCGTCATCCGACGCGTTGAGAGAACTTCATAAGTTGCGTATGGCGACCCAACAATCACCGCAAAAGAAATTATTGAAACTATGCGGCATAATTAATATTTATTTCACTTACTCTTGTTTAGGAGTTTACAAGTTTGATCATCATCGTTTTATGTTTTTTTAAGTTTATTTCAATGAAAAAAGAGGTTGGACTTATGTAGAATAAGGCAGACAAGGATCTAGTTGACTGTGATTGCACAAAGAGCATGCGAATGGTTAAGCTAAGGTGGTATTGGACGAAACTAAAAAGATAGTTGCAGCTGGAACTATATGAGTCTCTTTACATCACCCCAGGTTGGCGAAAAACCCAGGTTGAATCATCGCGAAGGTTGAACCTTGTGTAGTTAAATGTTGAAAAGCATTAACTGCTCTTAACGAGTAGCCATTATGGAGACCAAGGTTGACTTGACCAAAAAACCAAAATGTGTTAAATTTTTTTTTTCAAAACACTGGCCCAAGAGCTTGCCTAGGTTTCTGATGTCACTCAATAGCTTATTATTTGATTCCTTTATCATCAAGGGTCATCACCCTACCACCATTTTGTCGAAAGGGACATTGTAGTTTTTTTTTGTCGCCTTTATAGTCCATAGTTTCAGAATTTTGGTCGGCAGAAAGGTTGATCCAGGTCAGTCTCGATGAAAAATACACCTCAGTGCAGACAAATTAAATGCGTTCGAGAAACACGAATTTACTGTATTTAGCATTTTTCAAGATGATTAAGGTGGGCTAAAAATCAAGCAGGGTAAGGTGAAGAGGTCTGATAATACCTTCCTATCTTATTTTCGTGGCATGACGAAACAGTCTTTCCTAGTTACTCTTTCTTTATGAGCTACGAGGAAAACCAATTCCCTCAACTTGGTAGTCCTACTGACGGATGCTTTTCATCCTTTGATAGGCGTCAAGGTACTTGCTGTGGTGTTACCCTTGGTAATCATTTTAATCGCTGTCGTAGCATTGGGTGTATTCTTTTACTGGAAAAGGTGAGAAAAAAACTACTTGACGGGAAGACATACCATGTCTAACGAATGTAAAAATTATATATCATGGTACCAAAAAAATGGGCAGGGTTAATTTAGTAAAATACACTTAGATGTTCGAATGATGTTAACATATCATGAAGATAAAACCCTTCCTTTTGTTCCTTTGATGTGAACCAATAAACTTGTTTTTAAATAGGAGAGGTCAAAAGAATGTGGACATCAACACAGTTGCATTTCAGACGTGAGTAAAAATCGCATTTAGTTTTTTTGTTGTTGTTGCTTCCTTGTTTGTAAAGACAAACGTCTAGACCAAATACATTTTGGTGCACTGACTCACCGACTATTAATTCAATTGCTGTATTCCAGATCTTTTTAGGACTTTGGTCTTCACAAAAATGTATTGATCAAGTCATCTTATGATACCCAGATCTCTGACTGTATATTGTTTAATATGCAAGTACTGGTTTTTTCGGTAATCATTTTTTACTCCTCAAACGAATACTGCTGCTGATTGATTTGGTATTCTGTCAGTTGTAAACCTGCTTTTTTAAGAGACGTCATCTCGGTTATTCACGTACGCTATCCACACTTTTTTTCTGCCTTGCAGGGGAACCGATGAATTAAACTATGCAGTGAACAAAATATACGATGATCGGTAAATATCTAATATAAAACAAAGTTTGTTTGTAAAGACAAACGTCTAAACCAAATACTTCTTGGTGCACTGACTCACCAACCATTAATTCATTTGTTGTATTCCAGATCTTTTAGGACTATGGTCTTCACTAAAATGTATTGATCAAGTCATCTTATGATACCCAGATCTCTAAATGTATATTGTTTAATATGCAAGTACTGGTTTTTTTGTTCATCATATTTTACTCCTCAAACGAAGACTGCTGCTGATTGATTTGATATTCTGTCAGTTGTAAACCTCCTTTTTTAGGAGTCGTCATCTCGGTTATTCACGTACGCTATCCACACTTTTTTTCTACTTTGCAGGGGAACCAGTGAATTAAACTATGCAGTGAACAAAATATACGATGATCGGTAAATATCTAATTTAAAAACACTGAGAATTGTGGCATTCTGGTGGAAATGTTTACCCTGGTCCTTCTTGCTATGCACTGCAAAAACGTTTACACTTAAAGACAATCAACGATGAGACCCAAAAGCTTTATGGGTACATAAAGACATGATAACGACATTGTTTTGCACGTGGTATATGATAGAAGCTACACACACTTTCCTGACAGAAAATAATATCATACGTAGAGATTTGCCATGAGTCATGGAAATTATGTAACATTTCCCATAAAGCAGTTGGGTATCAACCTTCACGGACCATGCTGTTTAGGAGTCAACGTTTTTGCAATCGCGTATAAAGAACGCACAATACGTACACCAACCACAAAAACCTGCGACGCGTCAATTTTGTTAACAATCCTTGGCTCAGTTGTTGACTAATGGTTGATATTCTACAGAGTTTGCATGACATAATGAGCGACCTATCAGGTTTTCTTTTTAAAGTTGATCTTCATCACACTTCTACTTCATTAAATAAGTAGACTCCAAGTTACCTTAAATCTGTTTATTGATGGATCTCAGATGACGCTAAAATGTGGTAATTCATGCTTTTTTTCTACTTAATTTGACGTCTATTTTTTCTTGATGGATAACTTTTAGCTAATATGGTTTTCCGTCACTGTTCTAGCCCCGGTTGTCCGCGGAGTAGATAACGCTAAACGCAGGGTAAATCTCTTTCCGGTGGATACTGCGGTACATTTTGTTGTCACTTATCCGCTGGATAGCGATTCATCCGTTGGATACCGTTACCACCTCCTGAACAACTGGGCCCAGATCCAAATAACAATTTTTTTTTACCTGATTTCCTTCTTTCGCTTCAGTAAATCATCCGGTTACCAACTCCTCAGCGAAGAAAACTTAAGTTGATGAGAATAGGTAATTTTATTCGTAACAATAGTGCGCATTTCGATCGAGAGTCGTAAAACAAAAAGCGAACTAAGTAATACAATAGCCAATCAGAACAAAGGAAAATATCACAGGCAACCCAGGACAACTCAAAGCAAACAGGCGAACTGCCCGAGACGTGAGAATTTGGTATATTAGGAAAGCGGCGCAACCGAAGCAAACCCGAGTTACTTCCGACACTCACCTGGAAATTTAATTTTCCAGTCTATAACACGGAAGACTTAGAAGTCCCGGGACCGCATTTATGGAAATATATCAAAGCTTTAATCATTAAACAGTGTCATATTTTTCTTTCTGATAGGGATGCGCTGGTGCCTGACTGAAACTGAAAAAATAAGCAGCAAGGATATGTTTTAGCTTATTAGTGTTTTAAGAGATTTTTAAAAACAAAAACAAAAAAAATCCTCTGAGGATTCTAATCATTTTCCCAAATAATAGTGGTAGTAAAAAACGCCAAGCGAAAGTAACAGGTACCGTTTTTCTTATTAGTTAGAGGAGAATGAGTTAGGTAGCCAGTTTTTGAATGTGCAAATATCTCTGAAAAGATGGTCAATTTTAGTTTGTTTGCTGTCTAAACGATGTAAGTGTATGACAATGGATGATTACTAGCTTATAGAGCGTTAGCACATCAACCAATCAGAAGATTAGAAAATACCTTTAAAAACCAAAGAGAACTCAAAGTAAAACCACGCAAACTGCCCAAAGCGCGGGAGAACACGGGTGACCAAGTCGTGATTGGCTTTAGTTTTGTATCTGATTGGTTGAGAGAGTATATGGCGCGAGTTCTTTGGACTAATCATAGAGCGGAGTGAGGGAAATCCAAAGCAATCCCTGATTACTTTCGACACCCCATTAAAAACCGCTCTGCTTTAAAAAGCACACAAAAATTCGTTGTTCAACTAAAAAATATGGCTCGCAAGCATTCAATAAACCCACATTTTAGATTACTGGATGAATATCAACAAATGTTTATCTTGATTAAATTTTTTGCCCTTATATGGATATGATTTATGGAAAAATACCTTTAGCGTAGTTCTGAACGGTTTCAGAGAGTGTATTCATAGCCGTAAATACAGTCAATTACATTTTATCTTGATAATAAAAGTAATCTAATCTCTCACTCGAAAAAGTTTCTTACTCTCCAAATATATCAGTTTGACAACACTCCTCTCCACTACAAATGTGATTTCCGAGGTTGCTCTTTCTACCAGAAGGAGATTGTTAAAGGAAGGTTTCACAAACAAATGAAATGAATCATTTTTGATTGTGGAATAAGAATCGTGAATAAATTAACGCTTTTACACGGTTCGAACCGGCGCCTCCGAGACATTTATGGAGTGTCATTACCAACATGAAACGAAGCCACATGTTGACAGCGAGGCAAATGTAGGTGTGCTCTTTGTTTCCCATATTATCATATTTGACCGGTTTCCTAGCATGTGACAAATTTCTAACAAGGTCACATTTCTTTCAATGTTTCTCAAACAAGAGACAAAAAAACAAAAACAATTAAAAGGTGAAACAAAAGACAAAACAACACAACACAAAAAGTTGTGTGGTTAGCGAAAGGCAAGTGTGCCCGAAGGAAAAATGCTAATAGAAAGTTAAAAAAATCCTCTCAAATATGAAAACGTTCGGTTATAACAAATGAAAAAAAAAATTCTTTTAGTTCTGACACAAAGCGGACGGCCTTGTTGAGTAGTAAAACGGCCAGTGCAAATTTCATGCAAAGAACCAGAGATTTTCCCCAACTACTTACAAAGACAGAACTCAATTAAGAAAAGGAGAATAACTGCACGCTTGAAAAAGAGTAGGATGGTCTCGAGCAACTGGAAAGTTAGAAGCTCCCGTTAGCAAAAAAGAGAATGAAAACAATGGCTCTATCTTTGTAGTAACAGTAGACTATGAAAAGTGTTGATAAAATGAGGTTGGTTAGTTCACTCGCACGGAGTTTCAACTTAGGAACGATTAAAGTTGCTTTGATTTGCGCGACAGAAATCGCCAATGTGATTAGATTAGAAACAATATATGCAAAATTGACCATTTTTGAATCTCAAATAAAAGTTATTGGACGGGTCATGCGACAGTTTTCAAAACCATTTTCATAGAAATTGGCAGTTGTAACATACGAAATCAGCCTGAATTACCTCTGAAATTTACTCCAGTCTCCTTATTTTAACCTGGACATCGATTGCTCATTTCCACTTCTAATCAATATTTTCGCTGCTGATACGAATACCGCGCTGAAAAACTTTCCACTTGGTAGTCCACTTATCTTCTGTAAACAATCACAAATTTCATCGTTTACATGATGCAGATGTTGATAAGCTTGTTTAAACTTTTTGAGTTTCTATAAGACATCTTGCCCTTCATTAACGGAAAATAAAGTCAATTGAGTGTCTATTATTAATGAAACATTGTCAGGGAGAAAGTAGTGTTCATTTTTATCATGTGTTGATAATTTGCGCAATTTCCATGCGAAAGCATCTTCATTGTTTTCATATCCTTTTATTGCGGAGTGCATGCCTAACGTCCTTGAAAAGGCTTCATACGCGAATGAAACAACGGATGATTCAAATGAACAATTATTGGTGAGGTCGTTTTCCCTACGATGTTATTTACTCTGTGGAAGCGAACTTGGATTTTTCCTCTCCTGTTCATGACATGCGAAAGGTGTACTTCGTACTACTTTTCTGTTTTAATCTCTAAAAGCATTCATTTCAAAGCCCCTATATACATGATATTAGACATGGCGATCTAAGGAACTGTTGCAGACCCCATATTCAAAAGTTAATAGAGAGTTCGCAACACACGTGAGCACCAACCATCGTCATATGACTAAGACATCGAAATCATATGATAAAATTTGGTATAGTTTGTAATAGTTCTGCAGTTGATCTTATTCGGCTTTATCATTTACTTTAAGACGTCGGTGCGATGCTCTTTTAACTTGGCATTTACTATTACAAGATCAGTTTCAGTTACAGTCATCGTCTTACTTTGAGTTTGTGAGTGTTAAAAAAAAAAAACTTCAACAAAGACATTTCTTTACTCGGTCCAATTTCCACATGCAATGGCTAAGGGCACCGATTTTCATAATACCTGGTACAATTCAAAACATGTGGGGTCTACTAAAGCAATCAACTTCGTCCAAAACCCCTTACATTCATAGAAACAAGTTTCATAAACTTTCTTAAACAGAAAAAAAGCCATAGTCCTGCAAGTCAACTAGAAGAAATGTAGACAACGTGATAATCTATGGTAAGTATCATCTTAGTTCAAGGGTCACGTTTTACTTCATTATCGTCCATATTGCTAACATGTGGCTTCATTCTTGTGGAAAGCACGAACGTGATATAGTTAATGGTTAACTTTGCAATTATCGCGACAAAGAAGTGTGTTGTTATTCAAGCCTCGTCTGCTGCAGAAGCTAATTGGCTGATCTGTGTGTGTTGATGGCCCGTTACTTGAGATTTTCACGCATTGCTGACTTCCTTTACCCTCGGACATGTTAGGAACTCTATTCTTTGTTCCTTAAGAAATTGTCGCTGTTTGAATGCAAAGCACTCAGTTTGAATATTGAAAAAATTAGCAACTTTCTCTTTTGGGATCTAACGGCGGCAAATTGACACACTTTGTCGAAAGCTCTTGTTAATTTTGAATGCAGGGGTGCGACGGTTTGTTGGCTAGACATACCTAGACACCTTGTCACTAAGGTTATAATTATTTAAATTGATTGCACTAAACCACAAAATAGGGAATGGTCCATTTGTAAATTAAACCAAAACAAATACGCCATAATCACTGATCCACAAAACCCCACAATCCATTTGTAAATTAAACTAAAACACACACTTTAATCCGCGAATTTATTCATTCAAAAAAAAAAAACACAACAACAAACGAACTAATGATAGCCGATTTTTTGAACAGATAGAAACCTAAAGTTTTTGTTTCAACTTCTGAAAGCCTTTATTTTTAAAAACCCCATCATCAACAGGATATTATGCCATGGCGATCTAATTTGGTGAAAACCTGTATAGCAGACCTTATATACAAACACTATTGCGCCGCTCACAATACCAGAAAGCGCGAGGATGATCGAGATACCAAGGTATCACAATGAAATGATTAATTTTGGTTTAAGTTTGTGAAAGATTTGCAGTTTATTTCATTTTGTCCTATCAAAACTGTGAGACATCGGACCAATGCTCATTTCTCTTGGCATTTTAAATTTCTAGATAAGATTTATGCATCAGTGAAAGTATTTGGTATTTATTCATTAAAAGCATTCGAGGGAAAAAATCCTTGCAAGATATCGTTCCCATGAATATACAAAAGAAACTTGATTATTAAGCTTGAACTTGTTTTTCAGCATTTTTCCACTGCACGCGCATGGTAAAACGGCGGGCACTTGTAGACACGTTATCCGCTCCTTAGTGAAGGAAACGGAAATGGCTGCAGCATACGCTAATGGCCGTTTTAAAATATTCATACCATTTGTCTTTGCCAAACTTTTCACTTTCATTGTCATTTAACATCAAAATATCTATATATTCGAAGAAATTTTAAGTTTTGTTTTGAGTCGTTTTGAAAGCTATATGTATAAATGCAGGCAATTTCTTGTGTTGAGTTGCCTCACCCTTGTACTACTCTCAGGGGTGTTGAGTACGAGGAGCGCCCTTGAAGTTTCAATACAATGCCAATCGGGCAGGTAATAGGAAGATAGAGAGTTATCAACCAATGATATTGTTTAAGTGCAACACCAGATTTCAGGACGGCCAGTAAAGAAGCGCTTTGTGGTTGTTTGGGAGAATCAGATCGAAAGAGTAGTATTGTGCGAGTGATTTAATAAAAAAACACTAATTATGTACAAGAGGATGAGTCATGATGGACAGCAATCATCACGATAAACGCAACAACCAATCATTCAAGTCGGCAGTTCTCTTATTCGCGACATGATCATACAAATACAGGGTGCAAGAGCTTTCGTTCTGTAGTTGTTAAAAGCTTGAACTGATCTTGTTAGGTTCCTTCCCCATCGAAGCTTCACTGTTAGGCTATCATGAAGAGTACAAAGGAAGCGAATCAAGCAGAGAGCTTCCACAAATCACCCGGTGTATCAAGCAAGGAAAAGAACATTTCTCACCCAAAAGAACCACAGAAGCAAAAGCGCAAGAGGAATTCGTGTCCTTTGTCCTACGTCGAGGTAATTACTTATGCTATTCTCGACTCGCCACGACGGCAAAGAACGCTATCGGAGATCTACAGCTTCATCCAAGAACGCTTTCCTGAATTCACTGAAAACAGAGCGCGATGGAAGAACACAGTCCGCCATAATCTGTCACTGCATGAATGTTTTCAGAGAGGTCAAGTTGCCTATGAGAAAGGTGGATGCTACTGGCAGATACATCCAAGATTCTTGGCCGACTTCATTCGAGGAGATTTTTCTAAACGCAAGATACCGCAGCCTCCCTATCTTTTCGTGAATGGTGAGTATAGCTATCGTAGCGTTCCTGAGCTAGTTTTTCCTTTTCGTTTGTCTGGCCAGTCCTCACCGTTTGAACCACATATTGGAATGTTACACAGCCCCAGCTGGAATATGCGACCTCCTTATGGACAGCTTGGACACTTTTTTTGAACCCTTTGAGTTCCAAGAAAGCCTTGAATATACAGAGAGAAACAAACAAACATCCCTCAAAAAAATGAGGACGTTAATTTGTCATACAAACAGAATATTGGGCTTTCCACTGAACTTTTTGTAATGCATACAAGTAGATGTATTCCTTAGTAGAATATAATTTGGTCAAAAAGATCATCTTAAAGGGTTACAAGCACATATTTTGCCTTTTCTTACAATAAAAGATTATCAACATCAGTAAGTGATTTTTACTTCTCCTCTGATCCAAGTTCATCAGATCAGAAAACTGTGTCAACAGAAGGGCATGTTAGATATATTCTATGCATGCCGTGATACAAAGAAAATGAAGTAACACTTGATTCGTATCTGGATAACTTCTGAAGCTGAAGGAAGTAGATTTGTGCAGCGTTTCATTTTGCTGGACTACTCGCAGCGAAACCTGACTAAATCTTATGGATATCCACCGAACCTGCAAAAATGAAAGCCCTCATGTTACATGTGATAGATACTGCTCCGCTCGATGAATGACTGGTTGTTGCGCTTTTGATTTTAGTTCAAATCGATCTAACCTCCCATAATATAACCCTTAAATCGTAGAGACGACATCGCAAATGAGTCTCTTGTCCCTTATGCAGGGTTTTAAACTTTTAAACAGGGTTTTGAATTAGTAAATGGATCTAACCTCCCATAATATAACCCTTAAATCGTAGAGACGACGTCGCAAATGAGTCTCTTGTCCCTTATGCAGGGTTTTAAACATTTGTTACGTCATTTTTTCCATGATTTCTAAGATCGATTTGCTTTTAATCATAACGAACTCGAACGAGGGTCTCCTTCAAAAGTAATGTACATATACAATTAAAACAAGCCTTGGGGGAATTTAAAAGATTCCCAGCGAGGCAAAACGAGAAGACATAAAAGATATAAAAAAAAAACTCTGCATTATTCAGATTTGTTTCAGCAGTCACATGTTAGAAAGATAGGCTCTTCCCGCATATTTTCGATGGCGTTCTCCGACCTCTGGCCGTGTTGTTTTGCCTCAAACCATTCGCTTGCACCGTTTTACCCAGTTTAACAAACATTTCAAAAACTAATGGCTATATCGAGGGAACGAAATTCCATCCGACAGAATACCTTGGAAAATGTCCAAGCATGATTCCCAGCGAGGCAAAGCGAGAAGACATAAACGATGTAAAAAAAAAAAAAAACGCATTGAAACGGCTGCAAAAGTGTTCTGGCTCTGAGCCAACTCTGCAGTTTAAATTATTTTTCTTTATTTCAGCAGTCATATTTTAGAACGATGACCGACGCCTCTTATCGATGGCGTTTTCCAACCTCTGGCCATGTTGTTCTGCCTCAAACCATTCGCTTACACCGTTTAACCCAGTTTAACAAACAATTTCAAAGACTAATGGCTATGTTGAGTGTAACTAAATTCCATCCGACAGAATACCTTAGAAATGTCCAAGCTTGATTTCTCTCTGCACGAAATTTCAAGCACACCTTCTTTAACAAAACAAGATAACCTTTGCTTTCGTTCATTTTGTCCGCACCTTGATGGCATGATATGAGATCAATGTCGTTGTCTTCTTTTTAACTAAAAAGCACCATTTGCCGACAGCTTCGAAGCCTATGCACATATGTATTTTAACGAACAGCCAACGTTTACGCTACGTGACGAAATTTTCCTTTTTTGTCTTGACATAGAAAGTTGCCTTCAACGAAAAGGGGAAATCAAAAGTTATTTGTCTGGTAAAATGGAGACATCATAATTAAAAAACTGCGGGAAAATTGCAAAGTAGGAATCCATGATCTGATTATTCAAACAAACGTTAGCCGTTTTTCAACAAAACCGTGTTCTAAACCATCTTCAGTTTAGCCGAACCTTTAATCAGAACACTTATTTTGTGAACAGTGTCCGAGGAACGAAAGCTGACAGTGGAAAGGACTTTTAGTGAATGAAATCGATCTAACTACAGGTACAACCTAAGGCCCACTGATTGCGTAAAACCACGGTTTTGTTTAAACCTCGTGTAAGTAACCGACTGTTAAGTTTCCCTTGTTAAGTGGACTTGATTTCTGACTAAACACATTTCAACATAGCAACACTATAATAAATAATGATCCATTATTCAAATAAACGGAGGTTAATATTCAACACTTTCATCTTAGCGAAGTGTCTTTGTAGTATATACTGGACTGAAATAGAAAAATTCGTGGATTTCTGTCAATACACCGAAAATTGATCACAAATTAAAATCTTGACGCGCGATTTTGTCTCTGCGGCTGCTCAGAGGTGAAGTGCACTTCCTAATCACTTCCGAACGAGCCAATCAGTGCGCACGAAAAGCACCATTCACCTGTGGTATATACTAATGACATTCATGACAACTAACAACGAACTCAGACAAAACAGGAGAGTGAAATTTTGACTTTTTCGGGGCACAACCATTTCCTTTTTTTTTCGTTTTCTACAGAACAGCCAACATCCATACAGTGCCTACCACAAAAATACGCCTGAAACACACAAGCCAGTCTTGATGAACAACTGGATGAATTGTGGTTTGCAACCTCTATCCATGTAAATTATGTGTCATTCCGAGATAAGTAGAGAGCATACAGTTTCATTCCATTCGGGGCTTGTTTGAGCTTGATTCCACGGAGAACCGTGGAGAAAAAGGTAATGTCACGTGCTCTCCGCCTTCAATCGTCCGTCGTGGACACCCAAGGATTGTAAACAAACAATGGCGGCAGCCTGTTCAGCAGCTTTTTTGCTGCCTTCCCTGCAGAGATACAATTATGACGAAAATAACAAGAAGCTTAACTCATTTTTTTTTAACCAGAATATTTATATAGACCACTTCTCATCTGATTATCATATATGATCTGATATTACACCGATTTTTCCTTCACTACATCCTAAGATTGATATACAAAACTAGCCAATTACAGTATAGCATATTGCTTTATAGAGAGACACGGAACTAGTCGCCCGAATACTCCGGCACACCGCCAGGACCTTACCCCGGTTTTCAAAGCATGAAACAACTAGGGATATTACTGGTTAGGATGCATTTTATCTGACAATTAGCAATACTTATCTATATTCCTGAATGAAGAGAAGTACTTCATGTGAGTATAGTATCTTTACTAAGAACACGACACAATGACCTGGCCAGGACTCGATCCCGGAACTCTCCTCCCAGAGTCCAGCGCCCTAGGCCATCGCGTGTTCCACACTTACAACACGTAAAATAAAACCAAAGATGAAAATTTAAGTACCCATCAGCGGAAACAACTGACACTTGCTTATGAACACCCACCATTCCGTTGAAGAATATTTTTTGTCTCCGACGAGAACAACACTTTTGAACCATCTATCCTCTTCTCTTTCAATCTGCCAAAAAAGAGAATAGTGATGAATTATGCATGACCTCGTATCCATGTACTAAAGAATTTCAATCATTAAAATAATGGAACTTACCTTATTGCAGAATGTACATTTAATGAAGGTTAAACCATTCCAATTCATATTTTGTCTCGAGGAAAAATCTGAGTAAGGAACTTTAAACCAGGCCAAAAACTGGTTTATAAAAGACACTTACGGTTTCATATGTAGGCTGTTTGATTCTGTTTCGCCTAAAGAAAGCAGAAAAAAAATTACTTTTTGTCATTGTTGTCTTTGTCATTATTCATTTTAACTGTTGCTTCTGCTATTGCTGCTACCAAACTGAACAACATCTCCAACTACTACAAGTGTAGAAATGAAATTGTAAAGTTAGGCAATTAGATAACGCTAAAAAAAAATCTGGTTACAGATTCGTGCAGTTTGTTGGAGTATCAAATCCAACATGGCCCTCAATAAAGAAAAGAAAAGCTGGGCGTGTACCCATCAGGGTTCAAATACACTCAAGACGACGAGGCACAATTATAGATTTGATTTCGTCATCGCTTGAAAACAGCAACCGCTAAGCGGCTTAAACATTATTCACAGGGGAGGTAAATAAATACCAAATTTAATGCAAACCTTGACCACTCTAGAAGGATCCCTTTGGGTGTGACACCACCTGTGTACATTTTTCTACAAAAAAGTCGAAAAATAAATTAGAGGTAAACATGAATATTGACAGTCAAGAAAGCAACTGCTTAAGAATTAATTTAAAATAGTAACGTTGTTTTTCCATCAACGATTGACAAAAAAAACAACAAATCACAGTTCGATTACTAACCTGAGATACTTGACTTTAATTTCAGTTATTTCACTTGAAGAATCTGAACTTTTTCGTTTCCTCTTCTCATTCTACGTTTGACAAAATTCGACAACAAAAAAGACACCGTGGGACAAAATAGGAGTAACCCTATCATTAAAGTCTTAGGAAGGATAATTTGAGGGTTTTTCTTTTATTTTGGTTTCAAAGTCATGTAATTACGAGCTGCTCATTGGCACTGAGCATAAATTTTCATGAACAGTAGCTTTACCTACTGTTTTTGTTGTCAGACGTGAGTGACAGGTAAGTATGAACATACTGATATTGTTTTCTTGATTACTTCCAACCTCGAAAAGGAGAATTAAATTTCTGATTGACTATCAATTTGTTTAATTCCTTGCTTGGTAGTCTGTCTTACCTCGTCATCTTTCATGGTTTCCATTTTATGTTTTCTCCTCTGAACGGCATCATCAAAGTATGAGGTAAGATTCCATATTTCACTGAGAAAGTTTGTAACAAAATTTGGGAATGAGTGGGAAATGCTCGCAAGGTTGCAAAAAAAGTCAGTTTCTTTCATGGGGTAGAAGATGGGTTTTCCTCATGCCTAAGACAGTATGTCAAATTATCTGTTGGTTGAGGTAAAGGGTAAGGTAATCAAATTAATATAAAGATAATAATATACGTTCCTGGTTTACTTTTGCCTCGTTTGTGTTTTCTGTCTTACCAAAATAATATTTTGTGACATGCTTCGCTATTAGGGTAGTACTGCACGCCGCGAAACTGACCTTAAAACCTTGAAGCTTTTTCAAGCAGTATCACTGAAACTCATTTTGTCTTTCCTCGACATAATAAAACTTCGTCATATAAATGCACTTCACTTCCGCTTTTCACATACTGGTAGGGGATTTTTTTAATAATCCTGTGCAAATGCCGAGCACAACTACACAGCAAGCTTCAGAAATTCTTCTTAGGCCCTTACCAGATGTCTCGCATTTCTTTAGCATGAAGAAGCTGAAGAGCCTCTGAAGATGTTGTATCTTCATGCAACAGCCGCTGAAGGCAGTATTTTGTATTCCCAAAGTTATTGTCAAAGTCTATAGCCTGCAAAGACGGAGAATATAAATATCCGGTGTAAATGTTGATGCTTTTCATCCCTCTACCACTATAGGATGTTCGTATAGCTACGTATCACCTTGACGAATACTAAACTTACTTAATTCAGTTCCATGCAATGGATAAGTCGAAAAGGAAGATGGGTGGTCGTGCTCGCTTTACGAGAGAACGGCGACTGGAGTTATACCTCTATCAAACAGGCTCCGCTTTTTAACAGAAAACAGCTACATGTTTAAGTGTATACAGAGAGGATGCCTAATGCAAGTAGTTAGTAAGGAATGACCTCGGAAAAGTGTTGAAAGAGTGGGAATGACCCATGTAAAGAATATAACGTCCTTTGACTGAGATTTTGCGCTGTTCACGTCATTTACATATCACAGCAGCGATATCGATGTGACAGTGATTCATAAGTCATTTGGAGGTTGAATCACCCCAAAACAGCAACAACTTGACTAAGAATTGCACACCTATTATTAAAACTGGGTGGGATATGATAACTTCGGTTTAAAACCAAGAATAAAGTATCCGACAAGAAGAAAGGGAATTTGAATTTTTGAATCATTACCAGTTTAATATACTCCGTTATCACTTGTGAGGCAGATAAGCAACCCTCTTTCCTGTATTGGAAATTAAAATAATCTGGTCAATACATTGATCACACAAAGTAAAACTTTACGCCGTACGATCGATCAATCTTGACCCAACATGTATCATTCTTAGAAACGGGACCCGACCACCAAGATTGAATTTAGAAAGGAAAATACATTTCTGCTCTGGATAAAAATTATAATGTGCGATTTCAATCTTCGTCCGGTTAATCGGTTGTTTTATTGGGAAAGACAATTTCCTCTCACAAAGCTCATTCTCATTCACACGTGAGACGGTGAGGGTTAAAGGCGGAACGCGTTTGCGGCATGTGGCATGACTTACGGAATAGTATAATTTACGCGGAACACCTGTAGATTGTCCTGATGTTAATTTATGCCCTAGCGTCATTCCACAGATATTATATTATGCCATTCTGCATACTCATTCCGCCTTCTACCCTCACCACATGTAGAAGTGAAAACAGGAAGCTACATGAGTCATTCTCGCTTGCAGACGTAAAAGTTCACACACCAGCATTGAGCACAAGTAGGTCAACGAAATTATTCCCGAGCTACATATTAACTGGACATGTGAATTAGTACGTTTAATTAATGGCAAAGAGAAAAAAGAAGCATTTCAGAACTAAAAACCTTGGAGAACTTTACCTAAAGATTGAAGGATTCCATTGAGCGGCTCTTGCCAACATGACTGACGAACAACCTGTCTCCTGACGATATTTTTCAATATCTTTGTACGTATTTACCAGTAGTGACACACCATTTGCAATTACAGGAATGGAGACAGCCTTGGCAACTTCACGTATGACATTAATGTGCACCGGATCTCGTGAACGCTCGTGTTTTTCCCTAAGAAAAATATCAATAAAATCACGAATTAAAACAATAGTCTTTGACTGTTCAGCAATCGTTCTACTACAAGGATTCCTTTCCTAATAATTTCCCTTTGCTTAGCTTTCCTTTTATTCTACCTTCAATTAATGTTTCGTGAAGTAAAACCGTTAAGAAAAAGATTTGCCCGAAATAATTCTATCTAAAGCGCAGTATAATTTATGAGGAGTTTACCAGAAGCCTCTAGTTCATGAACTTGACCCAGTTTTCTCGCCTCGCGCCTTAGCAACAACCATAAAATGTTCGTGTTGTTCTTGCCCTGCATACCTGTGGCCAACCTACCTTCCATGAACAGCCAGAGCGACGATACCGGTTTCCTCTACCATTTTAGCAAAACCAACTGTTTCTTCAATCTACAAAGAATAAGAAAACAAGAACGAAAATAAACAACGCGTTAGGCGACAGAAAAACTAAAAAAAATTATTTTTTCAATATATAATACATAAGGTCCTGTTAAGGATTCTCCCGTCTACTTGTTCTCCTTTACATTTTCCTTTAAATCAGTTGAGAGAATTTGGCATTACTATCGGGTTAATTAGCAAGTATTGGATGAGCTTGAGAAAAATATCGTTATCTGTTTTAAGGGTGAACATAACAGTCACGGATGGCCAAATCACAGTCAGTCACAGACACTGACATTGTGTTACGGAACATTTTTCACCCTCAAAAAAAAATTAGAAACATCAAAATCAGAAGGGAAACTTGACATAAGAGAACTAAGGTCCTCTCTTCCTGCAACCCCAACGGAGAGACACTGGAAACGAGCTAGGAATAAGGACGCATGTCTCGATCCTCGAAACTCGATCCTCGAGAGTTGTTCCTCGAAACTCGAATCGTAATTCTCGAACACTTTGAGTCACGGACGAGCCTAGATTCAAGTTCTAAAACGTTCGATGAATTTCAAGGAATTTCAAGTTTGAGCCCGCTAACAACCATAATACAAAGGACTCGCAATTTAAATTTCACAGGACTGTTATCTTCCATCCATTTCACATAAAACAGAAATTACTTTCAGTTCTCTTAGGCTCTACGACAACTTTAAGTTTGGTTCCACAGAGGTCAATAACAAAAGGCACCTTTTGGTACGAAAGGCAATATTTAAATTCACATCGTTTACTTACAGTGGGCAAAATTCTTATTTTGCATGTTACTGGCATTGACACTCCCTGCACAAGGGTTGTAAGGATCTGCACAAAAATACCACCAGTAAAAAGACATGTTAGTTAACCCCAGCTTTACAACCTAACATCAATGTACAATGTACATATTCTCCATACTGCTCGCTACACATTTTCCAAGGCGTTGACAAGGAGAATTTGTTTTAAAATCAAGTGTTTCATTATTTTATGATCACTTCGTTTATTCTCATGGCCTCAATGTGTGATTCAGGGGTGATATTGTAAAGAGAAATTAGATGTTAGTCACTCCTACATGTAGGTGTCAAAGGCTTAAAGATTAAAAGTGCAGTGTAATAAGATTATACCCAATACAAATGTTACAAGTGAAATTTATGGGATGGTATAACTGACCTTGTGCACATTGTCTGGTTGGGACAATAATGCTGCACCCATCCCTCCCTGCAAAGACAAACAGAAACAAAAACAATAAGTGGCAAGCTTGCAATGCTCAGCAATCCAGCTACCAGCTTTACATTCATGTACCAAACATTTTTGTTGCAATAATCTACATTGAAATAGGTGTGAGAAAACATCACCTGCCAGCAGTGAACTATTTAATTGAAATTAATTAAGGGGTAAGTTTCTAAAGAAACTGTAAAAAGTTTCTAAAGCTGATGTTGCTCTGATGAAGGGCACATCATTACAACGTCAGCTTCAGAAACTTCTTATGGTGGCCAATTTACATCAACAACTTAGGTGATTTAACCAAATTATCCTCTCAAATTCAAAGATGGTTTCCTTCACTTACCTTGCAAGAATAATCTTTTGGACAGCCCATGTTTACATCAATTCCAGCAACATCATTTTCTCTAACAAGAGTAACAGAAAGCAAATTAAGTGAGACAATCATAAACATTATGATAATGATAATGATGATGCATTCATATGGCACATTCTCCTTTTCAATATGCTCAGAAGCACTTTACAACGATTTGTAGGGAACTTTGGTCAGATTGCATTGAGTAGTTTCCAATTTTTTGAAATTAAATTATTCACTTATTCAAGAATTTTTGGAAACAAGGCCAGACCACAATACCAGGAGCTATAGTCCCTCCTCATGGCTTTGCAAAAAGTGCAAGAGTCTCACCAACCAGTACAGAGAAGCAGAAGGGGCCTACATTTATTGTCATTACCCAAGGAGACTACAACATCTAACCATTTGCAGATGACATAACAAAGGTAACACATTCTCTTTAGTTATTTGCCACTATTAGATCACCAAGGCTTTGAACAGAATTTTAGAACAGTAAGTTTTAAAACATTGTCTGACTGTGTAATTTGAATGACCATAACAGTATAACAGTGACTTACAAGAGTTTTGCAACTTTCAAGGCTCTCTCTGGGTCTGCTGTGCCCTAAGAAAACACAAAATGTGTCAACCACAGCCTGTGGCTGTGTATCAACAGTTGATACAAGAACCAGTTTACACCTTATGCAAATGCAACAAACAGAAGTAAACAGTATCACATGATAGCAAGTTATATAATTATAATATTTAACATATTTTCAATATTGAAAGGCACATTTTACAATTGCTGGTACATGTACAGGAACAGTGCCTATCCTCATTTTTACACAGCACAGAGGCACATGGTATATTGCCACTCCTTCAAGATGGGCTCCTCATCCATTGTTAGCCCCAAGAATTTTGTCAGGTTCTCTTACAGTATGTGGAGACAAGTGGATAAAACAAATAAAAATAAAAGAAATGGGATTTAGAAGTCTAACATTCCGTGAGGTAGCTCTTCTTATCCAATGTTTGCAAGTCAAATTGGAATTTAGAAAGTTGGTTGGAGGATTAATGGTTAAATATGTGGACTGTACAGCGTAGGTCCAGAGGTTTGGGTTTGAGATGTGGCTGGTCACTACTCACAGGGTGCCTCTCTTCACCCAGGAGTATCAATAGGTACAGATGAACTGTCAGGGAAAGCTGAAGAAATGCATGGGAACTAGCATCCCATCCAGGGGGAAGTGGATGCTTTACCTCACTGAAACTGTAATAAGCTCTGGCTGGATGAGCCAATTGGCTTGAGAGCTGACTTTACGCTTTTTTATCTTTCCTGGACAATATGCAAACACCTATTTATACTCCTGAGTGGATGGAACCAATTTGATTGTAAACTGCCTTGCCCAAGCACACAGCACAGAGACCTAGTCAGGACTTGCACCACTGACTCACCAATGCAGAGTCTAGTTTACTAGATCTATAAACAAGATTTAAGCTCACAAGTTTCTCATAACATGCACAACTGCATCATGGCCACCTTTTTGTTTTTTTTTGTTTTGAACATAAAGGTATTTGTTGTGAGTAATCAGTTCTCCACCTGCTAACTTATAGATGTACTCATTTTTCTAAAAGTTTGTTAAAAACTCAGACAGGTAATTAGAAGGTTGTACAAACCATTTGAAAGACAACATTCTGTTTCTCTGCCTGACACGTCCTAAACACAACTGTTCCATCAGTGAGCACAAAGTCAACTGTGCCCAAAAGTTCTGAAAGAAAAAGGTTATTCAGGGATTAAACTTACTGATAAATTACACTGCAAAAGCTCACTTCTAAGAACTTTGGCCCCTTTAGTTGTTTTGATATGGAGACCTGCATTTATGTCCTGGTTAAAGTTAGAAGTAAATAATTTATGAATCTATTTGATTCAGTTTTTTTTTTGGTTTACCCTTTAACTCTTGGAAGTGATTAAACATGTAACTTCTCCTCATAATATCCACACATTATCCAGCAAACAGGTTATAATAATACTCTTGCTTATCAGGAAGAAGTTTTTATCTTGATCTAACACCAAGTTCTCAGAGCTAATTTACAAAGAAATTAATGTGTGACAGCTTGAGGGTAGAATTAACAATCACATCTTGGGAATTAAAGGGCTTAAAAAAACTACACCATTCCAAATAATAGGCTCATCTGTGCAACATGTAGATAAATAACTGCACATCACACATCATTGGTGATTTGATCGTGAAAACCTACGTTCATAGAAAAGGGAAAATACAATGTCTTTTCAGAGAACAAGAGAAAAACACAAACTGCCAACAGCAAACAACACAAAGAGGTTGACACTCAGATATAAAAAATTTATTTACAACACATGATCACTTACTGTTTTCAATTCGGGTTGTCTTGAGAATTTTAAAATCAATTATTTCCTAAAAAAAGTAAAAGAAAACGTTGAAAGCTACATATAATTATCTTCTGGATAAATTCCAATAATTAGCAGAGTTCACACTGTAAAAACATAATTAAAAAAAATAATCAGGAAACTGCACTGCACCCTGACCCAGACTTTTAAGAAAGGTCCAGTAAGAAACATATTACAATATAAGAATTGCATCCACTAGCTTTTTTTCTTTTTATCTTATATCAGGCGAAGAGTCATACCATGGATGTACTGAATGATATTAAACCATTATTATTATTATTATTATTATTATTATTATTATTATTATTATTGTAAAAGCTTTGTTATCCCTTTAACCCCTAAGAGTGACTAGCATCTAATTTCTCTTCACAGTGTTATCCCTGAATCAATCTTTAAAATCAAGTGAATAAAACAAACAATAACCAGCTTCTTCAGTCTGGATCAGAGCAAATGGAGGAATTGTGGATTGTATGTGTGTGTGTGTTTATAGGCAGAAAATGGAGCTATCCTAAGTGCATCTATCCATCAAAATGGTGACGGTAATTCAAATGTCGAGTGCTTTTCATTAATTCCCACCAATAGTGTAGCTCCAATTCCTGCATATAAACACACAACCCACAATTCCTCCATTCACTCTAACGAGGGCTAATGCTCAAAATCTCAGCTCTGAAACTCTTTATGGTAGCCAATTTACATTACCAACTTGGTTGATAATACCAAACTACCCTGTAATACTCTCCTACTGATGCAGCACAACAGTTTCTTTAGAAATTTACCCCCTTCACAGCTTAGAGTTATGAATAAAAGAAATAACCAGCATCTTTAGTCCAGATCACAGCAAATGGAGGAATTGTGGGTTGTGTGTGTGTTTTGTATGCAGAAAATGGAGCTATCCTATTGGTGGGAAAACGGTGATGGTAATTCAACCGTCAAGGGCTTTTCATTAAACCTTTAACTCCCATGGGTGACCAAGACAGAATTTCTCCTTACGATATCAAAACAAGATCAACCAGATAAGTCATGAGAATAAAGAAAAATATCAATTTAGGGATAATAAGTTGATCCAATACTAAATTCTCTGAACTAACATTATAAGAATTGTATAGTTGGTTCTAAGGAGAATTACAAATTTTATCTGGGAGTTAAATGGTTAAACTAATTGATTCTTGTTTTCTCTTCACCATCTTCGCACCAATAGCATAGTTCCATTTCCTGCATATAAACACACATACACAACCCACAAGTCTTCCATTCCCTCTGATGAGGGCTAATGCTTGAAACCTCAGCTTTGAAACTCTTTATGGTGGCCAATTTATATTATCAACTCAGTTGATAATACCAAACTACCCTGTTATACTCTCCCACTGACACACCACAACAGTTTCTCTAGAAACTTACCCCTTTCATAGCTTAGAGTTATGATTGAGAGCATGTATTTCTCCATTAGTCACCCTTTCCAAAAGATCATGTCTTAGTCTTTTACAAGTTACCACAAAGCCATTCATCCAATTCCTTTGGAACTGATATCCACTCACAAGTAACATTATTTCCAAGTAGAGAGAGGAATGGTGAAAGTAACTCGCTTGCTGTTAAGGGAAGCAAAGGGGTGAGGGGTAGGGGGAGGGAG